CTGTCCATGGTTTTACACTTGTCTCCCACTTATCTCCTTGTCTCCAGTACACTCTGCGCGCTCTGCCCGCATGATTTTGGGCCGCGTGAATTTACACTTGTCCCCCACTCGTCTCCAGCACACTCGGCCGCGTGATCTATTTTACACTTGTCTCTCACTCGTCCCCCTTGTCTCCCAGGCCGCTCTGGGTCCTCTGGGCCGCGTGAGTGCTCCTCGGCTTTTCCACACCTGTCTCCACTTGTCTCCCTGCTTGTCTCCCTTCTTGTTGCACTTGTCTCCCACTTGTCTTGGCCTACTCTGGATACACATACATGGCCGGATGTTTTCGCCTGCTCCGCGCTTAGACACTCTTGGCTAAATGATTTTACACTTGTCTCCCTGCTTGTCTCCCTTCTTGTTACACTTGTCTCCGCTTGCCTCAGACTACTCTGCATACACTTGGCCGGAGTTGTCTCTTGCTTGTCTCCAACTTAGACACTCTTGGCCGGATGCACTTGTCTCCACTTGTCGCTTTGCTTGTCTCCATGCTTGGACACTCTCGGCCGGGTGATTTTACACTTGTCTTCCACTTCACTTGTCTCTCTGGCGGTCTTTCTGCTTTTGTCTCCCCTCTTGTTCCACTTGTCCCCCTGCTTGTCTCCCTTGTTGCCCTCCTTGTCCAACCTCGCAAATTCATGGTGGGTTGAAAGCTTTTAACATCTTTTAACCAAACAAAGCATGATAAAGCCACACGTCAGTACAACTCAGCATATTCAGTAGATTTGCGTATGTTCTGTGTTCGTCTGAATTGCCGGTTCTGACCTTGAGCCAATTGAGCCAAGCGCTGAAACAAGCACAGAAGGTCCGAGTTGATCACTGCGAGCTGGATCGGTTTGAGCCGTTGACTGTTTGACAGTTTGTCTGATTGGGGTCTACGCTGGAAGAATGCATTTTTTGCCAAACAGGGTATGGTTGTGAATCAGGCGGGGACTGCGACATCAAACAAACCAAGCCTCGGGAATCCCACATTGTTGTCATTTCCGTTGCCTCAGCTGTCGACCAAGCTCTAATCACTCAAGTATCTATTTTGTTCACGTTTGTTCGTTCTAAAGCAGAGATGGCCTTTGTTAAGCCAGGTGGCAATAGGTCCATGCGTTGGTCTTGCTCTTCAAGTCATTGAAACCTCTTGAGCAGCCAAGGCTGAGCGTCATCCAACAAAACGAAAGAGAGAGGGGAAAGTCTAAAAATCATGTCCCCGTGGCGCCCGATACACGGAGAAAAGAATGCATCCATGTTGGAATACTGGCTTGCCCTTGGCTTGGCAAAATATTGAATAAACTGTGCATATTACTGTATATACAATTCCCAGTTTCGATAACGATTACAAAATCACGCTCTCAAAGTCAAATCAGTCAAGGCCCCCAGCGCTTACCAAGCCCTCTAAATTAATCACCACATCCATATAGACAGGGCAAAGCCAAGCACATGTTCCCAAAGATTCAGATTTACAGAATCAGCAACTATGTTTAAAAATTACTTTACTTCGAGTGATCCCCACCGTGACATTTCAAAACAACCACGTTGACATCACCCTCGTTGTGTATTTCAGCCCATAGCACAAGTCCTTCAGCGCCAAGTCTTACTGTTTTGTCCGAAGCGAATGCTTTCATCAGGAGACCTGCGCCCAACTAATAACAAAACTCGATCATTTCACCTCGGAAATTTCCAGGGCCCGAGCAGTAGTAGTAGTAGTAGTAGTGCTAATGGTAGTGGAAGTGGTAGCGGCGGTCGTAGTAGTGGTAGTAGTGTGGTACTAGTAGCAATAGTAGTGCACAGTTCGGGGCCCAACCTGGGCCCGAGTAGTAGTAGTAGTAGTAGTAGTAGTAGTGGTAGTGGTAGTGGTAGTGGTAGTGGTAGTGGTAGTGGTAGTGGTAGTGGCAGTGGCAGTGGCAGTGGTAGTGGCAGTGGCAGTGGTAGTGGTAGTGGTAGTGGTAGTCGTAGTCGTAGTCGTAGTCGTAGTAGTAGTAGTAGTAGTGTAGTAGTGTACTAGAGTAGTAGAGTAGTAGAGTAGTACAGTAGTAGAGTAGTAGAGTAGTAGAGTAGTAGAGTAGTAGAGTAGTAGAGGAGTAGAGTAGTAGAGTATTAGTAGTAGTAGTAGTAGTAGTAGTAGTCGTAGTAGTAGTAGTGGAAGTAGTAGTAGTCGTAGTAGTAGTAGTAGTCGTCGTCGTAGTAGCAGTCGTAGTAGTAGTTGTAATAGTAGCAGCAGCAGTAGTAGTAGTAGTGGTAGTGGTAGTAGTAGTTGGACACAGTTCGGGGCCCGAGCTTCGGGGCCTGAACCTGGGAAATTTCCGGGGCCCGAGCAGTAGTAGTAGTAGTAGTAGTAGTCGTAGTGGTAGTGGTAGTGGTAGTAGTAGTAGTAGTAGTCGAGTAGTAGAGTAGTAGAGTAGTAGAGTAGTAGAGTAGTAGAGTAGTAGAGTAGTAGAGTAGTAGGGTAGTAGTAGTAGTAGTGGTGGTAGTGGTAGTAGTGGTAGTAGTGGTAGTAGTGGTAGTAGTGGTAGTGGTGGTAGTAGTAGTAGTAGTGGTAGTAGTGGGTAGTGGGTAGTGGTAGTAGTGGTAGTAGTGGTCGTGGTGGTAGTAGCGGTAGTAGTGGTAGTAGTGGTAGTACTGGTAGTAGTGGTAGTAGTGGTGGGTAGTGGGTAGTGGGTAGTGGGTAGTGGGTAGTGGGTAGTGGTAGTGGTACTAGTAGTAGTGGTAGTAGTAGTAGTAATAGTAGTAGTCGTAGTAGTCGTGGCGGTGGTGGTGTGGTAGTAGTAGAGTGGTAATAGTAGCAATAGTAGTGCACAGTTCGGGGCCCGAGCTTCGGGGCCCAAAACTTGGAAGCTTCCGGGGCCCGAGTAGTAGTAGTAGCAGTAGTAGTAGTAGTACTATGTACTTTGTTGCCCGTCTCAAGTCTCTTTGCAAACAGCTGCGCCAACAGATATGGAATTGCGTCCGACCACAGTCACTCTGGCATGTCTTCGAACAGATTGCCCCCCCACTATGGTGAGCTTTGTGGTTCTCGATTTTGCTTGGGCCCTCCGGTTGTGTGTTTTGGTTGCGTTGTGATTGTGTGTGGTTGTGTGTTTGTGGTTGTGTTTGTGGTTGTCTTTGTGGTTGTGACCGTGGTTGCGCGTTTGTGGTTGTGTGTTTGCGGTTGCGTGTTTGTGGTTGCGTGGTTGTGGTTGTGTTTGTGGCTGTGATCGCGGTTGTGTGTTTGCCGTTGTGTTTGTGGCTGCGTTTGCGCTTGTGTGTTTGTGGTTGTGTGTTTGTTGTTGTGTGTTTGTGGTTGTGTATTTGTGGTTGTGGTTTTGTGGTTGTGTGTTTGTCGTTGTGTTTGCGGTTGTGTGTTTGTTGTTGTGTGTTTGTCGTTATGTATTTGCGATTGTCTCTTTGTAGTTGTGTTTGTAGTTGCGTGTTTGCGATTGCGTTTGCGATTGTCTGTTTCTGGTTGTGATCGCGGTTGTGTGTTTGCGGTTGTGCGTTTGTGGTTGCGTTTGTGGCTGTGGGCTGTGGTTGTGTTTGTGGTTGTGTGTTTGTGGTTGTGTTTGTGGCTGTGTTTGCGGTTGTGTGCTGTGGTTGTGTTGTGGTTGTGTGTTTGTTGTTGTGTGTTTGTGGTTGCGTTTGTCGTTATGTGTTTGTGATTGCCTCTTGTCAGACTGTTGTTCTGTTCGTGGTTGTGTGTTTGTGGTTGTGACCGTGGTTGTGCGTTTGTCGTTGCGCTTGTGGTTGTGTTTGTGGTTGTGTGTTTGCGACTGTCTCCTCGTAGTTGTGTTTGTAGTTGCGCGTTTGCGATTGTGTGTTTGTGGTTGCGTTTGTGGTTGTGTTTGTGGTTGTGTTTGTGGTTGTGGTTGCGGTTGTGTGTTTGTGGCTGTGCGCTGTGGTCGAGGTCCGGCAGGGAACACTGGGCGCGGATGGTCGTGGTTGAGGTCTGGCAGGGAACACTGTGCGTGGAAGGTCGTGGTTGAGGTCCGGCAGGAACACTGGGCGTGGATGGTCGTGGTTGAGGTCCGGAGGGAACACTGGGCGCGGATGGTCGTGGTTGAGGTCCGGCGCAGGACGAGGAGGAGAAGAAGAAGAAGGAGAAGGAGGAGATAGGGCTGACATAAAATCTAACAACCCTCACCTGACAGGTGGGGAAATAATGCACAACCAAAATTTTTCTGTTCAAAATGTTGCATATGTTCCCCTGTGTCCAAACTGGTTTTGCAAATGTGAATCTGTATCAATCATCGCACATCCTCGTTCTTTCTACAATGTGTCTGCATCTGGTAGCTTCCTAGCATAGTACATGCTTCTGCAATGTTCGTCTAGCCACAACAGAACTGAAGACATTGAAAAACTCATGGAAAGTAAGGGGGACAAACTCTACAAAATCAATCCCTCTCCATCCACAATATTCAATGGGCGACTCAGAAAATTCAATCGAGTCCCTGGAGTCCAGAAAATGCTGCTGACTTTGGGAAACTGGCCATTGGTTGATCAACTGTGTGGCATATGATGGCCACCCGTGTCAGTCAATACCTATTTTCCAGAAGCTCTGCAAGGACAGTTTTCTACTTTGACCTATGAAAATGCTCCAAGATGTCCTGCCTGCCCAGATTACAACTTCACTTCCCACATCTGCAAAATCGGCGAAAGCATTTGTGGTATCTCTGACCCCTGGACTGTGCATGAGACGCCTTTTTGACGCTTCATTGGTTTGTGTAATGTTTGCCGTGGAATTCCGGATCTGTTTTTTCTGATCGTTCCTAATGCTTTCCAATACCCTGGGCTCCGTTTAGCGCCATGTACTGAAGGAGCACCTTCTCCTTATCCACAGGGATTTCCAACCAGACCAGGCATAGGCTCGACGAAGATGCTTTTGAACCTGCTCGGACTGGCCTTGCAATGACTCTTCAACTGCCTTGTCGACCTGATCAAGCAACATGGTATCATCAACAAACATTGCCCAGGGTGGCTCCATGCTCAACTCAGGGTATTGGTCATCCGGTGTGACCTCCCAGGGATGGAGCACGCAGGGACAGCTCGCGAAGTGCAGCCTGCATAAAGCTCCCTGCACTGCGCCACCCCACGGGCAATCCGAGGCTCACCCACAAAGATGAGCTGCCCTTTAACCCAACGTCATGAGGCATCACTGGCTTTCCAAGCGTCATGTACTCGGGCCAACAGTCCGGCAGCTCAAACAGGTAAAAGGATGGAGTGAGGTCTTCGCCCGATACCCATACGAGGGCATCTCAAAGACATTGAGAGCGGTAAACTGCGGTAGCTCCTCCGCCGGGAAACAATTTTTTGACAAAGGAGATGTGGACAACAATGCGCCAGTTTGCCACGCAGTCATGAACATAGGAAAATAAGACCACGAAGAGATGACCAACCACATCTTTTCGGCCGGGGTCAAATGAGACGCACAACCTGCCAGCGTGACAGCGGAAGACCAAAAACCTAAAAAGGATTTTGACGAGAAGGGTTCGTACTCGATCCCTTGCTGTCCACCGAAAGCTGGCTTATTCCACAACTGGCCGAAAACCACAGGCAAGAGCAGGGACCTGGGTTCCTTAAAAGGAACCAGGTAGGACAGGTTCGTACTCGACCTGTCCAGTCACTCCCTCAGGGAGTGCCCTGAACTGTACCTGGGGCTTGGCCGCCAAAGTATAGGACTGAAAAGTTGTCTTGCGTAGCCGCCCAAAATTGCCCGGCTTTTAGACTATCCTGCTTTTCATCGGTACTAGAGACATTCAACAATTTGGTCATCAAACAACCTTCAAAGAAACAACACCAAAGAACTTCCACCGGACATGTACTTCTCAAACTGCACGCGCATCTGACCACCAAATAAGGACCAACATCTTCGTGACCACCACGTTCTGCTAACCCATGCCACAAGCGTACGCCTTCATTAGGGAGAACTTTGGCAGCTTTGCTACGAGTGTCACCTCTTTCACGCCAGTCCCCCGCGCCTTCCCGACTAACATCCAACTCCTCGAAGCGCTGAAGGACCTCGACTGCCGAAAACCACTGCGGGAGAGGCAACAAGCCACTCGGCGGGCCCGCGCTCTCTCGTGGGGGCTGAATCGACCATGACAGGCAGTCACCAAGGGGAGGTCCGCTTTTGAAAAGTTGGATAACCACATGACGAGCCAACTGAGCAGCGCTATAACCACCTGGGTACTCGGGTACTCCTCAGCGGAAAAGAAAGTCCAACATGCACTTGACCAGCAACTTCCGTTAAATCGCCCCGTAGCTCCAACTCTTTCCTCCTCCTTTTTCCTTGCTCTTCTGTCTCTTGCTCGTTGCCCAGGTCAGCAAACTTCCCCCTATCTTTAAGAAAGGGTGTAGAAGGGGCCAGCTCGGCCTGCGAACCTCTGACCTATATCTCACAGCGCGCCTCTTCCTTCTTACAGCTTTGATCCCGTTCGTGACGAACTGGAGCGGGTGGATCACCTTCGCGAACACGATGTTCCCGCCGCCGTCTTTCTCGACCTCGTTCCTCCTCCTTGACCAACGGACCCCTCTCTCTGGGGCTCCGCTGACAGCGCTGAGATGGCTCTTCTTGGCGCTTGGGGCTCCCATCTGGGGCAGGACGGACAGGAGCACGTGCCGGGGCAACTTCAGGGCCATGATATCCGGGGCCTGTGAAGGTCTAGGTCCGCCACGGCGACCAGATTCAGCCGATCGTTCACCCTGAAGGACCCAGGTCGTTGGGTGATCTCGGTGGCTGGCACCCTCTCCTCCTTTTGCCCTTGTTCATGAACATGGCCTTCTTTTTCAATATAGCTCACCAAGGACTCTCGCCTGACACATCATTGACATCTTTGCGTCTCTTTCTCGCCAACTCTGCCTCCTCATCCTCAACCTCAGCATCTCCCCCCGTCTCCGTTTGGAGCACGGGTGCTTCTGGAGGCTGCCAGATCAATGAGCCTCTTGCCCCATCATCTCACTGCCACGGGCCGTGCCAACTTCTGTTTGCAGTGGCACCCGTCTCCATTGAGGGAGTCCCCACTGCCTGCAGAATCCAAAAGACTTTTTTCCCATCTCACACCCAAGGGCTGCGCAAACTTTTGCGAGCATAACCTCAAAGGCGACGCGCGGCGCCAGGCCCCAGTGTAAATGAGCCCGCGAGGATCACCCTCTCTCAACTTCACTGGGCACCGCGATGGGGGACAATCACATACATGAAAACAGGTTCCGTGGGGGAAGTAATGGCTAACATACCAAGCATACTTGACATCGGACACGCCCTCACGCTGTCCTGAGAAGAGCCCTTTTTCCAAACTTTCCCGTTTCTCAACCTTAATAATACCAATGCCTTGAGGAGCTCCGCCGTCGTCTCTACATTCGTACTTGATGTAGGACGGGTCTGGTGAATCTGTCAGCCAGGCCCTAGCTACCTCCGGCGCTTGACGGCCTCCGCTCCCAATTGCAAAGGTAACCAGGGTCTCTTCTTCCATCAGACCATTGAGGAGGATAGGGGGTATCCGCTCAGCTTCAAGCCCCATCTCCTCCCCATACTTCATCAGGACCTCGAGGGCAGAACTCATCCTTCCCTCTTCTCCACAATCTGCGAGGATCTGTGGAGACTAGATGGGGATGCCGCTGCCTGACCGGGAATCCTCACGGATCTATGGTCACTGGGAGCAAGTCCACTCGAACGGGACTTAACACAGGCCTCACCACCGAGGCAACCGATTCGCCCCCCCAGACCCCAATCCTTACGGATCTGGGGCCTCTAAGGAGAGGAATCCCACCCTCCCCTGCCACTAACCTCAACAACCTGTGGCTTGCAAGGGGAGGGGCGCAACCTCAGCTTGCTATCGTGGGACTGAGCCGACACTTCGCGGGTTCAAAGACGTGCACAACCCTGCTAAAGCAGAAGACATACATATTGAAATATATTATATATATTGACATCACAGTACGGGACGGGCACAAAAGTTTACTAAGCACATGGTGAGTGATCTTAGCTTCTACAGAATCCATCCACAATGAGCCGTGGTCCTGCATTTTGTGATTGATGAATCTTGGCGCTCCACCAAAAGGCTGCTAAACTACATACTCTGCTTGTCAAGCCTATCACACTCTGTGTACTTATATGAACTTATATGTAATTCGACCAAGGGACTGCTGAAAAGATCGAAATCTGTGCGGAAGCCATCATCCCTGGTCTTGATGAGTCAGAAGCACTGGTGCAATTGGGCAAACGTGCGAGAATGCAAAAGGAACTGAACTCTTGAAAAAGTAAACAACTGCATTGGTATGTTCAAAAAGAAACGAAAAAAACAAGTGCAAAAAGCAAACATTGGTCAAATTTGTTCTCCGGCTCACGGCTCCTCCACGTCTTGATGAGGTCCTGTGCAGTCAAGGGCCAAGGGGATTTATGCCAATGCCTTGATTCAAGTGCACCAAAGAATGCTTGGTGAGGCAAAAACAACATTCAGAAATGACCTAGCACATCTGGCTGCTAACCCTTCACTACGGATTCCAACTATCTGCGCAGCTGTCCCAACACGTGCATCCACCCACGGCCGATGGCCATGTCCTCGTATGCATCCCATGTCTCAAGCCCATGGTATCGCTTGAGGTACCTGAAAGGTCTCAAAATTTGTAAGTACGTGCTGCTGTCGTGAAGGGTGCCGTTTGGTGTTGCATTCCTGTACCTAGGACCTAGAAACTTGCTTGGCTACCAAGACTTGCGACTCTAGCATCAAATTCTTCTCGCGTCAAGCACAGGAGGTTGCAAAAAAGGAAAAGCTCAAGGTCCCATCAATGCATGTAAGACACACTTCCTTGTGAGAGTCAGCACAGCCATCACCTTACAATCCACAAAAGAGCAAACATATTGCGTGGATCGTGACTGTTCGGATAGAAGCTAAAAAGGACGCGCAGCACATATGTTCTAAAGGTGATGTCCCTTCTTGCTAAGCAAAACTCTGCTGACAATGGTCTGAAAATGCTTCATCGGAGCGCCATACTGTACGCCCTAGCTGCAGGAATCTGTCAGGCGGCGCTTGGTCATGTCTCTGCTTGTTCTTTAGTAGGGGCTGAATTCAGGAGTTAGAAAGAATTAATTGTAGAGGTAATTATTGTCCACCCATCCTTGGTCCAACATAGGGTGCGAAAAGAATTACATCAAGAGTTAATCCCTTTCAACTTGTTAACTCACACGTAGTGATCTGAAGAATTAACTTTGGATTTAGATGGATTTAGAGATTTTTCAATGTGGTTTCATTGACTATTGCTTGGGACAAGGCAAAAAAGAATTAACTCTGGATTTAAGTCGTTTCAAAGTCTGTTTAAAGTCCTCTTGGGAGACTAGGAAACTGGAAAAGTTTACATCAAGGAGAGAACACTGGCTCAGTGACACTGTACGTAATTCTGTTCAAAGTCTGTTTAAAGTCCTCTTAGGAGACTAGGAAACTGGAAAAGTTTACATCAAGGAGAGAACACTGGCTCAGTGACACTGTACGTAATTCTGTTCAAAGTCTGTTTAAAGTCCTCTTGGGAGACTAGGAAACTAGAAAGGTTTACACCAGAGAAAGAACAATGTCTCAGTGACTATACTTTGGGACACAGGAAAAAATATAACTCCGGAGTTAATTCCTCAAGCACCATGCCAGAAATGAAAGGGGCCCATGAAAATAATTAACTCTGGAGTTAACTCCTCAAGCGACCATGCTAGAAATGAAAAAGAATTAACTCTGGAGTTAATTCCTCAAGCGACCGTGCCAGAAATCAAAAGAATTATCTCTAGAGTTAAGTCCTCAAACCACCATGCGGGCATACCAGAACTGAAAAGAATTAAATCAGGAGTTAATGCGTGTTTAAATGGGTTTAACTCTGGAAAGTACTGTACTCCTTTTCTTGTTCTTTCGCAGGGGTCGTTGGGCCCACCGAATTGTCTGCAGGACCAAAAATTACTCCAGCATAGACCCCAGATAGCAAAAGCATGCAAAAGATTTTTCTGGGCTGCACCCTGCATTGGCAGCAGCTCCAATTTTTACACGCAATACAGCGTGGCGCAGCCAGCGCCAGCACCCGGCACCAGCACCCAATCTGCACCACGCACACAACGAGCACCAGCAACCCGGCGGCACCCTGTGTCCGCCACGCGCACAGCCAGCACCGGCACGCCAGCTCACAGCACCACACGCGCACAGCCAGCACCCAGCACCCTGTTTCCACCACGCGCGCAGCCAGCTGACAGCACCCAGCACGAGCACCCAGCACCCGCACCCTGTTTGCACCACGCGCACAGCCAGCTCACAGTCCACCACGCACACCCAGCACCCAGCAACGGCGCCCAGCACTGGCACCCTTTCTCCACCATGCGCACAGCAGGGAATAACAACGTATGATCTTGCGCGAAAAAGTTTATGCACACAAAAGTACGCGCGCAAACAGCAAAGCCCGTAAGTGTCATTGGCCCAAGGCCAAGCAGTATCCAGCGCCACTGTTGATTTTGTAGCATGCTTGAAGCAACGATCTGTAGAACTATAAGGCCAATACGATCTTGCGCGTACAAGTTTATGCGCGCAAAAGTATGCGCACAAACGGCAAAGCCCAATGGTCGGTTGAGGCCTGACGTTGCGCATACAACAATTATACGTACAAAAGCATGCGTGCAAACAGTACAGCCCTTGACACAGCTGTCGGCCAAAACAGAACCAGAAGAGGGTAAGTACCCCACAGCGCTAATAGACAAAGAACGCTCAAGCGACAACACCGTATGATGTTGTGTGCATACAGCCAGCTCACAGCACCAGCACCAGCACCGGCACCCAGCAGCCACCCAGCACCGGCACCATGTCTCCACCACTGTGCGCAGCCAGCTCACAGCACGCACCCGGCACACAGCACCGGCACCCTGTCTCCACCACGTGCACAGCAAGCTCGCAGCACCGGCGCCCAGCACCCTGTCTCCACCACGCCCACAGCCAGCCAGCCAGCCAGCCAGCCAGCCAGCCAGCCAGCACCCAGCACCGGCATCAGCACCCTGTCTCCGCCACGTGCTCAGCCAGCTCACAGCACCAGCCAGCTCACAGCACCAGCACCAGCACCCGGCACCAGCACCAGCAACCTGTCTCTACCACGTGCACAGCCAGCACCAGCACCCGCACCGGCACCCGGCACCAGCACCAGCAGCACCGGCACCCGGCACCACCAGCACCAGCACCGGCACCCGGCACCACCAGCACCAGCACCGGCACCCGATACCCAGCACCAGCACCGGCACCAGCAACCTGTTTCCACCACGTGCGCAGCCAGCTCACAGCCAGCGTGCACAGCCAGCTCACAGCACCAGCACCGGCACCCGGCACCAGCACCAGCAACCTGTCTCGAAAGCGCGCACGGGCAACTCATTGTTATTTGAATTATTTGAAGTAAGAACCCCATAACTTCGCTATCTGGGGAATATTTGGCTAGAGTTGAATCAGGGTTTTTCCATCGTCCAGACCACATGTCCATATCACGCGCTTCAGAACTGTTGCAAAGGTTTGACAAACACTGTGATGCTCATGAATGCAGCTGCTAGGGTTGCTAGGGCTTTGTTCGGCAAGAGTGCAAAGCCGCTGCTTGATGCCCTATTGTCGCCAAATCACAAAGGCGTCGAATGATGAAGGAGCCAACTGCCCTCACGTGAGCATTGAATTGAACTTTGTCCTCAGAGAGACAAAGACAATGGCTGGAAAACGGAAGCTTTCTGCTGCTTATATATAAGGCACTTGGTTAGGCTCCCAGGAATTCTATATATAATATCAATGTGCTGTGGAGCATGGTACGGTTGCATGAGCTCTTTCCTGGCTGGTTCTTAGGCTCCTGCCTAAGTCTTGCCTACGGGCCTACTGTAGTATAGCCAGACTACTGGCAAACCCGGGCACGCTGACGTTGACCGCGCAGGAGAGATCAAAGCTTTGGTGCTTGTGCCAAGGATCATTGTGTTTGTCGCCCCACTTGCTGCCCGAGGAGTAAATGCTGAACCAGCGGCCCTCACTCACCTGTGAGTCTCTGAGTAGAAAATAGTCAGCAAGTCAACCAAGTCGAACTGATGTTTTTCAAGATCTATGCGATGATTCAATGATCTATGCGATATCTCGCAAAGTTAACAACTGGTCCATGGCTGGGCACAGTCGGTGGGAGATCTAAGAATCCTCAGTCCTTTGCCTGTGCATCAGTGCCAAAAATCACGTGAGAGGAGGGCAAGCCAGCTCCAAGGCACAGCTTTTCCTCACCTCACAGGAAGCCGCGAGATGCGAGTCTATCGCGTCCCGGGTCTATCGCACACACACACACACAATCCAGCCCTAGAAGCTCCTGAACAAAGAAGTTTTGAGAATTCTCTGCGAACGATCTTCTGTCCCCACTCGCCTTTAAGCTCAAAGTAGCCCATCTCGTCGTCAATGAAGTCGTTCTTCGATGCGGCTTGCACCAACCAGTTGGAGGTGCCACAGGTGGTGGTGGAGGCCGCAGCGACCTTGGACAAATACCTCAGAATCACTGCGCAAAGCCTAGTGATGGCCATCAAGCCAACAAGGAAATCATATTAGATGATGCTAATTTAACAGCATATCGAACCGTTAACCATAGCCATAGCAAGAAGCTCAAAGTCAATCTGTTGAGGTCAGCAAAGGTTTTCCAAAAGGTCGCAAAATGATGCAAAATGCAGAATTCTGCCGCAAACTTGGCGCTTCTATGCACTTCTCTTATCTTCTCTTCAAGCAGCAGAACTTCCTCTGGGATTGAGCTGTCCTTCCTATAGACAGGACCACCACGCGTGATGTCATAGGCCACCGGACAGTAATCACCTGGCCATCGTGTCCGTCACGACTTGGAGGCAGTGTGTCTGTCACTTTGCTGAGCAAACCCGATGCCAGGGATGTGGGCCAAGTATGGGCCACTTCCAGAGGGTTGTGGCTGACTTTGCCAAATGATTTGGCGACTCCTTGTGCTTTGCAATCAAGATTCGCAAGGTGTGAATCTGCCATGGGTTGTGGCTCAAAAATTGCAATCCAAACATATAACATATCCAAACCTATTGCATTCTTTAGACATGGCCATATCAGGTCTTGAAATCACAACGGTCTTGACTGCAAAGTCGTATGCTTTGTGGATTCTCCAACCTTGGATGGCCCACTTCGAGTGCTTCAGCCGGATACATGTGCTCAAGTCAGTGCAGTCATTCACCTGGCAACGCATGACGACACCCCTGTCACTGGAACGACACCCCTGTCACACGAGTAGGTCGAACGCTGATCCGAAAAGGTCTGGTCGAACACTGATTCCGAGGTGACAACCGAAAAAGTGGAAATCGTTTTAGCCCCGTCCGACTCAATGAACTTCGGAAGAAGTTGGTAGCGTCCTTTGCTCCTAGTAGCGATGCCCTTTGCTCCTAGTAGCGTCCTAATCGTTTTGGCCAAACCACACCGCTCGTTGAGTCGGACAACCACACCGCTCGTTGGCACTCTTGAGAATCGCCCATAACCCTGGTCGGTAGGCGGGTGGTACCAGAAGCTATGTGTCATGTGTCTGGAATTTGCAACCTTAGACCACATCACCATACAATTGATGCAGCAACTTTAGCGTGATTGGAGCCACATCACCTGTAAATCCGATGTTCAACAACCAACTTCAACCAACCAAAGAGCCGCTCCATCCGTTCTTTTTCCCACGCAGAGGAGCCATGAATCACCCCACACCTTGGCATGCACCGTGACGTAGTCACCACCTTCAGTGGAGACCCGATACCTGAGCGATGGTGTTTTGGGCACTGTGCAATGGTGCTTTTGCGCACCGTGATTTGAAGAAGCCCTTAAACTTGCGAGAAATTGTCCTTTGCAAAAAATCAAGACACTAAACGGTTGACGCAACCCAAGACTATTGAATGTAGCTAAATCCCAGCCCTATCCGCTATTTATGTTAAATCATGTTAAATCCCGTTCCTGCTCTGACACACTTTGTGGAAGGCACCGGGCTTGGAAATGATTCCTTTGGAACCCTTGCAACCCCCGTTTCTTTGTGACTATCTTGAAACAATTGTGCTTCAATCAGACTATCTGAAATTTGCCTCTCGGCTGAGATTTGCCTCTCGGCTGAAATTTGCCTCTCGGCTGCATCCTGCACTCATGTGGAGCATCGTGGTAGGTGTAGTGCGAGCACGTCTTCAACATTCGGCAGGTGTTCCTCCGACGCAGCGAGGACCCAAATGCATTCAATCCATTTCGAAAGGTCTCCCTCCTTTGCCTATAGCTGTAAACGCCAGAAGGGTTTCATCGGAAGAAACTTTTGGCGGTTGTGTCTGCACCCAACTTCCACAAAGGCTTGGTCTTTGTCACGCTTAAGCTAAGTGTCACGCATAAGATCAGCGAAAACCCCGGCTCAAGGAATGTGGAACAAATGTTTATCTTTTCTTAACAAAATGAAATGACCACCCGACTCGCGTTGTTTGTACAATCACCTCCTTGAACCAATCACGACAGAAAAAAACAGAAAGCCCTTTACATAATTGAATAGAGTATTTATAGACCCTTCAGATGTCCCTTATCTGTCCAATTTGGGTGATGCCATAATCTACTGTTGAGACCCACCCTTTTGCAGTACACCTACAGCCCGCCCGCGGGGACATCTCCTACAGCTCTGGTGAGTGCTGCTGGTCTTGGTCAAGACCACGGTGCCCAGAATGCGTTGGGAGACCCAACACCTTGGACTTGGAGATCTGTGTTGCACAAAACGTTGGCACCATGGCCACGTTCAACGACCAGTCTGGCAAAGGCAAAGACGGACGTCACGGCGTCTTGTGCGAAAACATTCAAAGCATGCACAACAAGTTTGGCCCTATCAATCGGGTTTCCAGCAAGGCGCATGTCATCCTTGATCTTCAACGTCAGGGAAGTAAACCTCGTATCAAATGGTGTCTTCAAGCGGCAGGTTGGAAGCTGAGTGATCGAGCAATGTCTATCTAGAAATCGAAACATATAGCCACACCGGAGTCGCCACACTGATGCTACTGCATGTTCAAAATCTTGTGGTGTTGGATCTCACGGCAATCGTTATCAACTAAATTTGTGCAAGCACCTTTTAGCACACCTGGTCTGCACTCATGTGATGCCTAGACGAAGGGACGGACTTCTTTCTCTGCACAAGTTCTACATTCTATATACTAATTCATTCGGCATATGCTTCAAGTGAAAATCCAATCCGAACTTGCTGAGTCTTGTCATAGCTTCCCAAAAAGAATAGAAAGAAAATATATACGAAAAAAGGAAGTGATCATAATCTTCGGCAAGAAGAGAAGGTCTCCCGGACACTGCAGCCAATCAAATGTCACTAATATCGTTTGTATGGCTTCGAGAGCTCTGCCAAGATGCAATGGGCTGATGTCTGTTCCAGGGAAGGTCCCCCAGACTCCACACCTGACAATGAACTTAGTGGACTTGTGTCTGTCAACCGGGCAGCTTTCAATTCTCATGGATTGCCTGGGTGCAATGAGGGCATATCACGCACTAAACTGGCTCTTCAAGGATCTTGATACGATGTTGTTTAAGGTGTGTTGTATGCTGCACTGTCGTACTCCTCGTGCGCACCTGCGTTCAAAGAAAAATGAGTTGCATCTCAGAACCGTGACCATGACTTAAATGCAAAATCATCATCGAATTTTTTTTGCACGCTTTTAGGTCTGCTAGAGTCTCATGCGAACATTTGTCGCAAATCCCGCTGCTTCATGAAGATGCAGCGGGCGCGGAGGCGCCCAGTGAGAGGGCGTCCATCTGTCATCCTCGTCCTGGCATGGCACCGGGAGCGTTCAATGCTCTGGCCTGTACGCACCATGGTGTGCGATGCGTGCCTGTCCCAAAGCTGCGGCTCGAAGGGACCATGGTAGCAAGGCTCTCCAACAAAGCGAGTGAAGGCTTCCTCGTTGGTCCGAGCAAACGGAGCACCTTAAGTATGCTCGATCCAACTGGAGGTGGTGGACTCCAGGCTGTGGGCCTTGCTGCGAGGCTGCCAAAGCTCAGGATCAGTTCCCACTTCAAGTCGACTGGCCCATTCTTTGGAAAGATCTTTGACCCGGCCCTTCCAGGTGAGTGAAAGTCAGCTCAACTCCGCACAGAGGGCAATGTCCGGTGAGGCCATGTAGGGTGCCCTGGTGGAAAGCCCTGAGACCGGTAGCAATGGAGTCACTAGTGGATCTCTGGATGTGAAGACTGATCATCCAATCTATTGGCCTTTCCAAGTCGTGGCAGCCCTCATACCTGGTCAAACGTAGAAGTCGCTGCCACCGAAATTCCTGTGTGAGCTTGTGGCGCATCAAAGGCCATGGGTCCGTCAAACACAGGACACAGTCCGGGATGCCCCCATACAGCCTGTCCTTTTCCACTTTTGGCCGTTGGAGATGTCAAAGTCCAGGTCCATCAAATAGGTCTGAAGAGCCTGCAAAGGTCTGGCGACCGCCTGCCAACGATATTTGGCCTTGTGAAGAGCGCCCACAGCCGTGTTCCAGCTTGTCCAGAAAAGATGCTGCTTGCTCTCACTGAAGCCATGGTAGACTTTCCAGATTGTATGCAAGTGTTGGAGGATGATAGAATCCCCTGGATCTGGCTGGTTGGGACGCACGTCGAAGACAATGTCTACGGAACCGGATCTCTGCAACTTTAAGGTTCGTCCAGCAAGGGTTCTGAATTGTTGCCTCGTTTGAGGAGCTAATCCGTTGGCTTGCGCCCCCCACGACATCACTGGATGCACCGCTCCTTTGTGGAGTCTGCAGCGTATGCCTTGAGCTATTCGTAGGCGGTGCATAATGCACAACCCGGCCTTTGCCCTTGAGGAATCGCTTCCTGATTTGGGTCACCCGTCTTCTTCTCCCGGCTGTCGAGTCTACCCCGAGGTCTCTCAGGATGTCGTAGTGCTCTGGATCTCCTTCTTGCAGAAGAGCTGTCCGGGCTCGCGCCGCTTCTTTGGAGCTGGTGAGAAAGCCGGTCTTGTCTGTGTTCAGTCGAAGTCCCGCTTCTTCCATCTGCCACTTTAATGTTCTGAAAGCTCCAACCGCTTCTCGAGCTGCAAAGTCTGCATCTCGACTGTGGATGTCGAAGCTGACATCATCAACCCAGGTCTGAAGAGAGACCGCAGGATGGGCTTTGACCAGAGCCTCAAGTGGCCTGGATGTAGAGAATGAGCTTTGAGATCGCAGGAGCTTGAGGACACCCTTGAAAGATTCCCCGATCATAATGCTTGGGATCACCATTGATGCCTTCAGCCTGAATTCCGCGTGGCCCTCGATAGAGATCAAGCGCAAACTTGCATGAGGCGCAAAGGAGGGTACGCTAGGTCTCTGGCTGGCTCAATGATCTGATCCAGGTCAACATGGTCGTAAAAGCAAGTGAGGTCTGCCAGGCGTGTGACCGTGTGGATGCCTTGATGCTTGGCGATTTCCGCGCGCAGCATTCTCCCAATGGCTATGCTGAGGCAATCCATGCCCGGTCGAGCTTGATCCCAGGGCAACTTCTCATGGCTAAGTGTCCTGTTCTCCATGTCAAAGATCTGCCTTGATCCACCAGGGGAGCTTGGTAAAGGCTGATCCGAGATCCTCTTCCAGTCGTGGGATTGTGGAGGAGTTGCGTAAGGTACTTCTCGGTCTGAGTTGCCCAGCCAGCGCGCTAGATCTGATCCCAGACCAGTGATGGGTTGGCCCATGATGTGGAATGGTCTGTCATCCTCCCAAAAACTGGTCCAAGTTGCTGGTAGTTGGAGTGTACGACCAATGGGCGGAAACCTTTGGAGCTGCTGAACTGCTGCTCGCAGTTTAGGTCAACCAGGATCCCACAGTGCGGTTTCCAGGGCACATCCCAATCTGCTCGAACTGTGAGGCTGCTGACCAGAGACTCAGAGACCAAGTAGTCGATCATAGACCCTTGCAGCGTTGTCGATCCTTGTGCGTTCAGGATTAGTGCTTTGAATCTGCTCTGAATGACGGTGGCAGCCAGTGCTTCGGGCTCATTCTGCCAGTCGGCCCCTACAATGTACGGAGCTTGAAGCTGTTCCAGAAAGGGCAGCAAATGGCTTAGGATTTCAGCATTCAAGGGGGGCTGCAAAGTTTCCCCTGTCCTGAAATAGAGCTGGATAACGAAGATGGTGGCGCTCTGACGCTGGAGTCCGATTGCCATCCAACCATTGCCTTCTCTGGGTGGGTGAGGTGCCTGGCGCCATGCAGAACCAGAAAACCCCCAGTCGTGCCACCTCGCCCTGTAGGTTCAGCTGGAAGACCATGACTTTTCCATCCTCGTGTGTTGAAGTACTGCTGAGCTTCCTCTAATTTCTCTTGGCCCAGGTGAGTCTCTTGTAAAGAAGAATGTGTTCTCCTTTGGTCCATACCCAGTCCTGGACCCTTCGTCCAAAGGAAGTCACGTTGGCGAAGACGAACTGTAAGGTCTCAGAATGATGTTTGGCTCTCTTGGGATGGCTGGGTTCAAGGGCTTCCACTGTGTCTGGAACCAATTCCCCACTGCGTTCATGGACTAGCCAAACCTGCACAATCTCTTGACGGCGGAGGTCAGTGAGGTGCGGCAAAGGAACCGGGAAGGTGTCATCGTCAGCATACCAGTATGCGTTGTCCAAGGCATGGATGGCAACGTAATGCCCATTTTCATGTCCTTGACCTTTGTGGAGGATCAGGATCAGACTGACTATCTTGTAAGTGGCACTGCGCACATGTACTCCATCTTCCGAAAAGGGAATGGTGATCACAGGGATCCCAGTCGAGATGTCCAGGGGCCTGTTGCGCTTAGTCCACTGTCTCTCGAGGAGGTGCGATCGTTGAAGATGGATGATGAGGCCTCCCGGAGCTCCATACAAGTACTGGCCCCGTTCTTCTTCAGCCCATAGATTGACCACTTCGTCAAGGGAGATGGAAGAGTCTCCTGGTGGGCAAATCATGTTCAGGGGAACTTGCTCACGCTCATCCAATCTGCCCTCGTTGGTCACATGAAAGAACTTACCTCCAAAGAAGGTGCCTCCAGCAAAGCCTGCCAAATGCCCAACAAAATCTCCAACACCCTCTTGATGCCCTTCTTGGAAACTCAAAAGGGATGTGGGTTGGTTGTCCCCGAGGAACTGCCGGACCGCTTCATGAGTGCGGCCCCAAGCCATGAACTGGTCCTCAGCGTGGGCTCAACTCCAACAGCGAAAGGCAGAGTTCCCACAGCAAAGGTTCTTTGGGTTGGTGAGTATGCTTGTCAAAGCCTGCCCAGATGCGGATGATCGCCCTGTACTGCCAGGATTTTGCGCAAGAGTCAAAACTGCATTCTGCATGGTCTGATCTTCATCATCCGTGATGTCTATCAGGAGCTTTGCAAGTCTGGCCTGTGGGGTCCCGCGATTTGCGGTACCCGTGAAGGTCCGCACTGACAAAGAGGAACTCGGCGCCCCTTGGCCAGAATTGTCGCTCCCTATAGCGGCGGCTGTGTGTGTGTGTGCCTCCACCTTTCAGCTTGAAAAAGGTTGGCTCCAAGCGCCAAGGCCCATAGCCCCCGCGGCTACCCTTGACAAAACTCGAGCCCTGAACTGCGAAAGTGCCAAGTGAGTTGACTGTCGCCCTGCAACTCAGTTGGTCATCCCCGAAAGGCTGAAAAGAATCAGCAACCCCATGTGATCTTGTGTCCAAGCTGTGAATGCCACCTGCTGCCTCCAAGTGGTTACCCACACGATTGGACCTCCTCTGTTTTGCGGCGCTTGTTCTCTTCCTCCGTAAATTCTGAAGGAGGTCGCTTCAGCATCAAACTGAGCTGGGCCTTTTGGTCCGCTGTAAGGTTGACACCTAAAGTGGTGATGAATCCTGCTACGGCATCCGGAACTGTGTCTTCCATGGCCTTGTCGTCCTGGAGCTCTTCAGACGGCTGATTTGTGTTGACCATGGCCATGTAGGCAGCGCTGGTGGTGTTCAAGGCATTCTGCTCTGCTTCCAGTTTGGACTGCAGGGCCTTCATGTCCTCCAACATGTCCGCACAGGTCTTCTTTGTTGTGTCGATCTTGTTCTGAAGGATTTGCTTTCGATGGGAAAGGTCCCTCAATGCCACTTCAACTTCAAGGCCATGTCCTTCTCGGTCTCCGGCGGAGGTTTAGTGATGCGCTCCACCAACTCCTTCACCGCTGTGGGCAGCTGGGCCATGTTCTCCTTGAGGACGTCCTGGCTCCTTTTTAGGAGGAGAGGGCTTGATGCCTAGCTGCTCCAGCCGCTGTTGTAGCTTGGGGTCCAAGGAACTCCAAGAAGTGGTGAGCAACTCCGTTGTGGCCTTGTGAACCTGGTTGATCTTGGATGCCCTTGCCCCACCCAAGCCTGGAGGTGGAGAGACTGGCTTTTGTCGAGGGGCGTACTTGCCCAAAGATCTCGAGGGTGTTCGATTGCTGTAACCTTGAGAAGGCGCTTGCCATGCCAATCCACATTTCCTGCAGACATAGCCAGCACATAGCTTGTCCTCCCATATCCAGTTCGAACAACCCTGACCTCTGCAGGCCTGGTACGCTCTCGTCCTTGAGGAGTTCCGCCATGACGTCCTCTCCATGGAGCTTGATGTCAAAGCACCAGCAGAGGATTCCTTCCTTTTCGTCAAGGGCGTGCTTGGGGTAGTCGAGAAGGGCCCAGCACTGGAGCGCTTGGGTCACCTGAACCCTTGAGCCGAGAAGCTTGAGCCTCATCATCTAAAATCTATGTATATACTGTGTTGTATACATATATATATATATACACACACACACTCTCGTATATATACTCCTATTTGGGTGTATGTCTGTGCACCAGATTTGGGAAGCAATGCAAAGATTGTTGCGAATGTAGTTTGCTGCCAAATGTTTTGCCCCTAGAACCTGTACTCACTGGGCTGCACGAATTTGTCTGCGGATGGCAGCTTTTGGTTGCTTTGGGTGCAGTCCTTTAAAACCTCCAGACCCTATAGATAGGCTGCGCCCCTGCTTTCACTCTCACCGTCTTTCCCTGTGGTCTGGTTAGTCAATGATTTACGACTCGCTCATACCCACATAGTCTTCTTCCTTGTGCCCTTCACATTTTTCTTGCAGTGCACTACTGCGTCATGAATGACTCCAGGCACCTTGAGCTTCTAACCTCTTTCTGTCAGTGTGCAAGATGACTTTCTGCTCTTTAAATGCTTGCCATCCACAGGTGCCCAATCAATCTTGTGAAATGGGGCAAAGCTTGCCTCACCGTAACCTTTGGGTTCAAACGAGACAGTACAAGGGCTGATGACTTTCCACGGGCCAACATCCCACTGCCACTTACAGAGTATGTGCTAACCCTTTTCGCAATCTCTTTGCAAACAGCGGGGTCCTTGGCCACATCTGCTTGGTCAAAGCACCTCGTCGTGTCCAGTCGACCCACGTCCTATTTCAATCATCTTGTGGTTGACTCGGAGTAGCACTCTGCATTGGGGCACCACCAAGCCAGAGAAGCTGTGTGGCCACCTGAACCTGACAGGGTTGACTCTTGTTTTGCGAAGGCATTCGGGAGGATGGGACAAAGAAGAACATGGGCGTGACAAGCGTTCGCGGTGCATTGGCACTTTGACTTTGGAGAAGTCTTCCTTTCCAGCATTTGGGGCACAAGTTTCCGCTTCATTTCGGCAGAATTCCAGAGTTTTCTTGTCGCCGGCACATAGGAGATCTCTGAATACGCACTTCCACAGGACTTTGTCCGCGTGCCCACCTGCTGCTGGAATACCAGCTGATGTTTTCCACGCTTGGACACAACACCAGCATTGAGCCTCGGCACGGCTTGGTTGTCTGTCTGCTGTCGGCTGAGCGAATGCTGTCCAGTCATGGAAGAAAGTCGGGCATGACAGCATTTCACAAGTAGATCAGGAAGACAGAAAGCGGTTGCAAGAAGACCGCAAACACTTTGCCGTCTTCATTCCAAAAGTGTTCGTACCCTGCTGGATCATTGCGGACGATTGCAGCTGCTTCCTCTGTGGTTCCAGCTCGGCGTACATGTGCTTGGGCATGCTGACAATGAGACCGCTTCAGGCACGCTAGTTTGTCTGCCCCTCTCGAGGGCCAGCTGCGACTGAATGGAAAGGATGCGCAGGATGCGCTGGCTGTTCGTGAAGAAGGTGAGGAACTAGTGACTAGGCGAAGTAGAGGTGTGCAAAGGCACATCATCAAAGTCAGAGACACATGCTACCCAGAGATTTCTACAGAGGCAAAGATGTCTAAACGCAGCTTGGCAGGCATTTTTGGAGGCCAAGGAAGCAAAGACTTGGGACTTGAGACAGTGCAAGGTTGCAGACACGCAGCAAATGGGCTCACAAGGACGAAGTAGTCTGGAAATCTCTGGATGTTTGTGTTTTCTGCGACTTCAGTCTCAAAAATGCTCAAAGTATTATTGAAATATTTGGCTTCTTGGATTTGTTTGGTTTTAGGTGTTTGAATATTTAGAACTTGGAGAATTGTTGCACAATATATTGCATAACAAATTCTGAACTTACATGGCCCGCCTCCTTATGCACTTTCTTTCTCAGGCTGTCTCTTTGCCTGCACTTATTTTTCCTACATAAATGTATATATACTTATGGTACCCCCATCTTCCCAAATAGCAAAATCTGACCATAAAACATGCACCAAACAAAATACATCAAAATAAAATAATCCAATATAGCAATACCGGAGCGGGTAAATATGCAATCCGGATGAGGCTGGCACCCAACATGCATGGATTTTCTCTGGAGAGCGTCAGCGCCAACATCATCAAAGAGCTTGGCCAAGGTTTCCTGTCCGTGGCGGGGCTCAAATCCGTGCAGCAACCTATACCAAGCCATAGGGCTTCTTTGTCGTCTTGCTGCTACTTCAAGGGAATCTGTTCACCAAACCTACCTCTTACTCCATTTACCGATGCCATTTTATTGGCAAAAGAAAAGCTCGGCCTTTTGAACTGACTGCATAACCGCGAACCATAGGCCGTTCTCTTTGCTGTCAAGCTTCAGCAGGGGCCACGAGAATGTTACCATCTGCGTCAACTTCCTTATTGCAAGTTTGAGATGAGCACTGGAATCACAGAGGGGCTGCCATGCTATGGCACTTGTTTAAATTGATTTACAAGAAACTGCGCGATCCAATTACAGTATCCCAATTTCTATGAACAATGGCAAGCGTCCAGCAAGGGGTGACTTCCAAGCAAGCCCACGTTCATGAGGCTGTCGTAGCTGTAGTGAGGGTTGGTAGGTCCATTGTAGGAGGCCACATCAACATTGCATGACCTCGGCACAAAGTTAAAGTTTCCCAAAAAATCTAGAAACCAAATGAATAGTACGAGCGCTTCTTCAAGGAAGCTCAAACCCGCTCTCAGGCGGGGAAGCTATTCTGCGTCCACAGTGCTACGAGTAGCGTGCTTAAGTAGCATAGCCTAGCTATTACTTACAGTAATTTAGTAGGCGCCTACTTAGATAAGTAAGAGCGGGCGAAAAAACTTGTTGCCGGTGTAAAGTCTTGAAAGGCAAATGTTGCGTCCAGGAGCACATAGAAACGAGAAGGCCTCAATCCACCAGTGCCCTCTTCATATCCTGCAGGCACCTGTAGCTTGATGGGCGGCAACTCCTCTCCTGCAACCTCAACGTATGTGAGTCGATCGAGTCGATCGTGCCTTGACGTTCTCATGAGAACATACGAGAACAACTCCATTGACGTCACCTCAAATGTATATATCCAAATGTGAAGTTCCACAGATCTGATGGTAAGCCATGGGAACTGGGCCATACCAATTGCTCCGTACGACAAAGAACTTGCCGTCGAATCCGTTCTGCTCAGGTCGTCTCTTCTGCGGATTCTGTGCATCTGAGGAGCCACCTCTGCATAGGTCGTTTCATACGTCAAGGCCTTCCATGGTCTTGGCCTGCGCCGCTCGGTCTGATGCACTCGGTTCCATGCGCGGCCCAAGTTGCAACAAACCCGTCGGAGATTCGGATGAACCAAGCAAATCAAACAAATCAGCTCATCTTTTGAGCAAGAGTTAAAAGCCGCAAGGTCTAGAAAAAGGAGATCAACCTAGCAGTGATGTGTTTGTTGTGTTGTTCTAGCTGCGGTGTGTCTCTTCAGCACCAGTGTTTGCTTTCTCATCTCAGGTTGCAGGGTTGCTTTTCGGGTTGTTGTGCTTGTTTCATGTGTTTTTTAATTATGCAAGCAGCGTGCACTCTCTACTAAATTCATCATCACTGGACTCAGCGATTGCTGATGTGGTGCCACATTCCCACTCGCTCGCAACAGAACACCGCTTGCCAAGGCGAGCTTGAAAGCCAATGGAATCCCGCCTCAAAACTACAAAGGTGTTGGTGCGCTTCTCGTGCATCTTAGCATCACCTGAAAAGGGGTTATGGCGGCACTCAAGAAAAGCTTAGTAGCGATGGCCTCCACCCTAACATTGGCCCTGTGTGACCCCTGGGTGACCCCTGGGCGACTGGGTGACCCCCTTCGAAAATCGCAAAGCCTCTGAAGCCTCCGGCCTTGTTGGAGAAACTGCCATCCATTGGCCACGCAAATGGCTCCGTCCAAGCCCAAATGCTCATCCACCTCTGTCACGCCACCTCAGTCTTCGACCCTCGCCATATCTCGCTCATATCATCCTGTATCCAGAGTTGTGCAAAACTCATGTCACATACGACGAACGTGTTGTGGCTGAATCGGTGGCTCATGCTGTGCCACACTGGACCTGTTAACTCCAATCAGTTTGAGAAGCCCTGATATCCCAAATTGTAACAGAATCAGTGAGAATCAGAAAGTCTACTCTTCCTCTGTCTGTGCGTGGACCCATCAACGAACAACCATTGACTGCCTGGTGCCACCACTTGTGAGAACCTCGCTTCTCATTCCGACCGTTGCTGGCATGGTACAAATTCCTGACCCTGGCAGTGAGAAAATCTTGAGCCAAGGCACCTCCATATTCCACCCGTGGGCAGTTGAGTCTGAGCTGGAGACCCCAGCCTCCACTGGTTCGAAGACGACGTGCACAAATCCTCAATGAGTGGGGCTGGCATACTGTCTTCCCTAGTCTGAGAAAAGTGGTACCAAACCTTCACTCACCGTCTTGTGAAAGTCTTGGTACCAAACCTTCACTTGGTGGTTCCATGTGGTTCCTATGTCACTCATGATCACGATTGCTTGCGTCATCCAAATTGCGATGAGATCATGGCTCAAGGATGCTCCAGGATGCTCCAAGAAGATAAGATATACTGTAGTCCAAGAAAAAGATTTTAAAAAAAATAAGAAAGCAAACGGGTCTAAATGAAAAAGCCTAAAGGTCTTTGAAAAAAGATAAGACTAAGTTTCAAAAATTGGTTTTTGGTTTAAACTAAAGAAACAGGTCCAAAGAAAAACAACAAAAAGAAATGTCTACAGAAAAAATAGTCTAAAGGTCGAAAGAAAAAATGTCTAAAGGTCTAACGAAACAAATAACAAAAAAATGTCTAAAGGTCAAAAAGAACAACAAAAACAATGTCTAAAGAAAAACAAAAGTCTAAAGGTCTAAAGAAAAAAAAACAAAAATTGTCTACCGGTTTAAAAAGAAGATGCCAAAAAAATCTAAAGGTCAAAAGAAAAATGTGAAAACAAAAAGGTCTAAAGAAACAACTCTAAAGGTCAAGAACAATATGTTTAAAAAAATGTCTAAAGGTATTTCTTCTTATGGAAAAACAATTGGTCTAATGGTCTAAACAAAAAATGTCTAAAGGTGTTAAAATCTTTTGAAAGGTCTCTAAGAGTCCAAAGAAAAAAGAAATGTCTAAAGGTCTAAAGAAAAATAAAGCTCTATATCGGTCATCAAGTGGCTTGTCACCTTTGTGGTACACATCAAAGGTGTCGCCATAGGAGTCGCTGCGATTTTGGGTTGTGTTGTCGCAATGAATGTGGCCTGGATCTGGCACACACTTCTCGTTCGTGGAGCTGCTTCCAATGTACACCTGCGTACCTTTGATCTCTTCGGAAGCTCGAGTGTCCGGGAAGAGTTGAAAGTTTTCCCTACACTTAAGTTTCCCAAAAAATCTAGAAACCAAATGAATAGTGCGAACGCTTCTTCAAGGAAGCTCCCACCCACTCTCATGCGGGGGGAGCTTCCTTGAAGAAGCGTGAGCGCTCCTGCGTCCAGTTGCTAGAAGCTTTTTCCCTTTCTTAATTGAGTAGGCGCCTACTTACTCAAGTAGGAGCGGGCTTTAACAAAGCACTCCAAATAGTTATCTTCAAAGCTTAGCTCCAAGTGGCTGATACCGTCTGCATCCGCCACAGCGCCTTGGCTCGTCCCTGCAGTGAGCTGTCCCGTTTGATGATTCAAGCGAAGCCATGGAGCTTCAGGGGCACAGGCCTTGGTTTGCCGGGACTTTGTGAGGCGGGCAACCTCAAAGCAATCTCAAAGCCCGACTTCTTGTTCCTAGTTGCTGCTTGCTCCCAGTAGTAAGCCAGGAGCCCCTAGTAGCGTCCTTGCTCCTAGTAGTATGGCCAGGAGCCCCTAGTAGCTTCTTGTTTCTAGTAGCCACTTGCTCCTAGTAGTAAGGCCTGCAGCCCCTAGTAGCGACCTTGCTCCTAGTAGTGATGCCCTTTGCTCCTAATAGCTTCTTGTTCTCCCTAAAGCCTTCTTGTTCTCCCTAAAGTTCAGTCAAGCGGCCATGGAAAAGTCGCTCCACGTTCCCTGGTCAGTTTTCGGAGCGAAGGTGCTCTCACTGGGCGAGAGGATCAAGACTGAAGTGCCATAGGTCCAATGGTCCACTGTGATCTTCACCTGTCATCTTGAAAATTAAAAAACACACGCTTTAACCGGTCCTCAGACTGTCCTGTTACTGAAGAGAATGAGTGAGAATAAATTCTTTTGGCTTCGTCTCCAAGCCTTCACAGTCTCGGAGACGCCTGCATTCTGGTGTGCAGTCACTTCGCATTCCAAGCTGAAGGGCTTTTGGGGAGGCTCCTAGCAGAACGAAGATTCGTGGCGAAATATGTACAGTATATAATTTGAACTAATAAAAACAACAAAAACATTGGAACAAATTGTGTTAAGTCTGTAATTTGAGTATCTAATTTAAGTCAACTAAAGAAAACTAATATATAATTCTTATATATATATATATTATGTAATATATATATATATATATCTGAAGCCGCTCCTTCTTTGGAAAGTAGCTGATATGGCCCGTTGTTCCATTGATGGTTAAGTTGTGCGCACCAAGCTCGCAACCCGAATCCACGGAGTATCCTGGGAGCTGCGAGCAGCGCTGCAAGCAGCTCGTGCTCCCAGCGGTTCCGATCAGATTTGGGGGTCTGTTTGGTTTGGTTTAATTTGGCCCCAAATGGCCCAGAGGGCCATTTTCTGGGCCATTTGGCGTCTTACTACAGGTCATAGCAACAAATCACAAAACCATCCCCTGGCAAGCTGCTCTCTGCTGTGCGGGGAATGGGATGCAGGTTGATATCATCTCCAATCGCGAAGCGCTTGTCGGCATAGTGAAAAGGTGTTGGTGCCCTGAGCCAAATGGAATACAGGATGATCAGGATGCAACCAACATCAAAGATTTCTCTGCTGATTGATACTAGTACAGTAGCGGACAAAAAATGGTATGAGCCAGTCCAAGACTGTGTGGAGCAGAGTTGCATCGCCTATGGCGAAAACCACACTTTGCGTCACTCCGCTTCAGGCGAGGCACTTGGTTCCTCCATTGCACTTGCAGCAAGCTGGGTTGCTGCTGATTCCGTTCACAGGGCGATCATTGCACCCATCGCCAACCAACTGGCGCAAGTGAGCGAGAACCAAAGAAGCTCCCGACATGCTCTGAAAAGCCGACAAGCTCTATGTTTTAAAGAAAGCGGCTTAATCTCCCTGAAGTCTAAGTCCGGCGATGGGTCCACATTGAATCTGGCGAGTCCGATGCTTCCCCTCGACTTTCCAATCAAAGATGTGTCACTTTGCAAAAGCCTTTCGCATAGTACCGAGTGTCCTTTGGTCCTTTGAAAACTTTGATCATTTCGAGGGAACTGTATTGCGATCAATCCATGTCTGATGCCACCAAACGAACTGTACTCCAGATACCAAATCCCAACAAATCGTGTGCAAAGCCAACTGTTTTGCACAAAGCCATCGCGCTGCTCCCAAGGCACGGCATCGCAAGTAAGACCTTCTTCGGTAACCCAGCCCATGGAGTCGGTGCAAGCCACACCTGCGCTCAAACTTATGTCCCGGTGAGAACCAATCAACTTAAAAGCAAGTGAGGTTTGTGCCCTATGCTGTAAGTACAGTGAGTTGCTAGCCTTCTGTTGGCTGGAGAGCAAAATGAACAAATATCACTGGCCAGAGCTACATAGCTACAATGTCTCACACTGACAAAAAGTGTACTCAATCTTGCTCAGAAAATCCTAGCCTATGGCTGCTGTAACACGGGTCATTTGCATGTCGGGCATTTGCATGTCGGGCAACTCTTGGCATGGTAGGTTCTGAGCTGGGAGCCCACACAAATATGATCTGTCGGATTTTTGAAGAACCCGCCCTCGCACTTCACACAACTGCCGCTCTCAAACTTTGCCTCGAATGCTTGCCAATGAACCCATCTGTGAATTTATCGGATACACTATGATAAAATTGTGTGTTCATTACAGAATTTATATCGTTTATATAGTACGTGTGAAATGGTCAGTAATAATGTGTCATACTTCGTCAAAATGGATCATCTGTTCTCTTGCTTGCCAAAGTCTGAAACCAAGCAGGATCGTTGCTTGTTCTGACCCTGCCCAGCTGCACATCCAGCGCATAGGACATTGTCTGATGGACAGCACGAAGTTGCAGTGCTCTGAGGAAGATACTCCACCTTGTCTTCTAATGATTTACAGTAATGAGCAACAGAAACACTGAAACACACAGCTGTGTAACTGATACGGAAAAAAGGCGCGCACCAATTTGATACCATCACAATTGGTCTCCAGTTCGATGTCCTTCTGCTTTGTCAGCTCCTGCCAACAAGGCTTAAGGCAGTCCTGTCATCTGAATTCGGCATCTTCCGCCGAATCCAAGCACCCAGTTTTCTTTCTGTGCCCAGCAAAGTACCACCCTTCCCCTTGAAAAAACCATCGCAAAAATCGGAATCCCCATCCCGTCCTGAGTAGCTGCGGCTGGCATGGGCGAAAATTTACGCAACTTGGAAGCCGTGCAATGGGCAGCCATGTCCCCGCTTGCATTGACTGCCTGCGAACACTGCGAGTTTTTCCTACTTCAACCTCTAAAGACTTTATATATATATATAAATAACAAAAACTACGGATAGACCAAGCTGCAATTCTGGTTGTAAGGATTTGCTTTGGAAGTTATAAAACGAGACTCTTCAAAATCAGGACTGTTCACTCCTTCTTCAGCCGATCGTGGACACTGACCAACGACTCGTCCGGTTGGTCCTCATCCAGCCGTATCATGGAGGCGCAGTGCAAAGTAAACAAATTCTCAGACACATCTAGACAAGAGCATCCAAGCAAAGTGAAGGAATCAAGGAAGGAAGGAAGGAAGGAAGGAAGGAAACACTCCCAACATTGGGAGATTCCTGTAACTTTGGGTTTCTCTATGTGGTCAAACACAACCACACTCGGCACTTGGGGCGCTCCTCTTCCAGCTTGCTTTCCACTTCAGTCACAAGCTTCTTCATCTCCTCCAAAAGGTCCTCATTGCTGAGGCCTTTCTTCAGCACCTGGATTGCTCGAATTGGGTCTTCCAAGTGTGACTCTCCAGAAAGGCACGTGTGCAATGGCACGGGTGAAATGGCACGTGTTTTCCTGCTTGTTTTCCTGCTTCTGCCAGGACATTGGTACCTTTGGAGGCGATGCCAAAGCCGAAAAGGTTCTTTTCCTGCTTGCCTTGGCCTGCAAGAGGCCACTGCCAGTGGCACTCTGCGATTCACAAGCTTCCGGTGATGAGCTCACCTGCCGGATCGAGGAAAACCCACCGGATGAGCTTCCGGTTTCAGGCTTCACTACGCCTAGCTGAGGCTCTAGGCCTAGCTTGGCTACTTGGAAACTCTGGGAAGCAAATGATGGGGGCTCCACCAAGACCATTCAGCAGCGGATCATATTCTTTTGGGTTTCGCACCTGAGAAGCAGCGGTAAAGAGAAACAGTAGCCCATAAGGCCACATCGGTATTGGGTCCTTGGAAATGCGCATGGTGTCACTCAGTGTCAGTTACTGGCATGCCAAGGGCAAGATTTGGTGCAAAATAGAAAGAGCACACCACACTTCAGTCTCGAGAATAGCTTGAAAATGCAGATTGCATGCTCGATCTTTCTGTATTAAAATGCGCCGTTAAATACAGACTCAATCAGTTTCATCCACGCTGCCTTCCCACCAAGAGGGTGGCAAGGTTTTTAGGAGCTCAGCGTACGCAAATGTAGGTACGAAAAGAGCTGTCGTTCCAACAAGGGAAGAACAGCTTGAATGAAAACAAGCAACGTACGCACCAAAAACGGCGGCCATGACCAAAGGGCCATATGGCTCAAAAGATGTGTCAGTGTCATGTGACATGTCTGCTCTGTGTCTGTGTATGTCTCAGGGCAAAGTGAACTTCAACTTTTCAAATGTGACACTTGCGGCCTGATGCCACTCTTTGATGGTGACCGGCAGTGAAACGGGAACACGTCTCGTTTGGAGAAGACATGCAAGCCCAAACACGGGCGCCACAATTGTGGCATGCAAACACTTTTGGACCTTGGCTGCTCCAGAAAGCCCTTCCTTTCATGGCTTTCATGGGGGTAACACGGTTAAAACAGAATAGGGCTGGAGCGAGCCAAAGGTGCTCAATTACAAACCTGCGGGTGCAGGAACACATGGACATCTCTCAGGTGGTGCCGCTCCACAAAATATTATCTATTCGACCAACTCCTATGTGGCAATCGTCATGAAAATTAATGTTGTCATTCTTCGACAAATGAGGAATCCTCAAGTCTTGGCGTCTGCAGCTAAAAGCTTTAACACAACTTTATAGTTACTTGCATCTATAGCTTGCTGTGCTAGTTCCAAGAAACTAACACTTTGGGCATGACCAGGGAACTCTGACTACACCTCATGGAATCGGAAATCGCATCTCTATTTGCCCCTCAATACTTCAGCGCCAGGAAAGCAGCCACTCCCGCACGGATCCAAACCTCGGCGCCGCTTTGCATCTAAAAGATGCCTCGTGCCTGCATCAAACAATTCGGGCCTTTCCGGCCCTTCTGACATGGTGCTCTCTATTAAACGATCCTCCCGCTAGACCCTTAGTTGAAGCATCGTTCATAGTTTTTGTTGGATGTGGCATGGCTTTTCCTACTTAAGTAGGCCTTCCCCGAATACATATGGTAGAGTCTTTACCTCCCTCTTTGGGATGGCCCCTGGTCTTTTGATGCCATGGTGTTGCAACTTCCAAAGAAGGCCTTCTGTGCTACTCCCTACAGGGTTGCTGAAATAATATGAAATAAGCACAAACCTCAGCCCTTCTCAGAAAGTTGACCGAGAAGGGCTGTGGGCCTTGCAATAAAAAGTCAAACGCAGGTCGCAAGGACTCGGACAAGAAGGACTCTTTCTGTGGCCCGCACATCTGGGATGTCGATGGTCGGCAAGATCATGTCGCGGACAAAGTTGGTGCTGTGTCCGGTGGTCGAAAGTGTACCCTTCCGGCTCAGGACCTGAACAGCCAACTTCGCATGGTGTGAATTCGAGGGAAGTCATCCTTAACTGGGTCAAAGCAGAGCACGTCTCTCATGTGGACCCACAGGACCCACATCTACCTAACTTCACGAGTGAAACCAGCTTGACTCTTCTCACTCTTGGCCCGCCTTGTAAACAGGGCAAGGATATACCCCAGGCTTGCCCTTGAAGTCCAGTGTCGGAATGAAGTGCACCACTGGCACCTGCTTGAAAAATGTTGGGTCTTCTTCAGGATTTCGCTGAGTTTGCCGCTCCACCCAAGCTGAGTTCTTGAAGTCATCAGTGGAGCAACTTTTTTGGGGCCCTTTACATCAATGGTCCAATCCCTGCCTCAGGAAATAGACATGACAATGTGACATGGCATGACCGTCACGACCCCTTCCCAGTTAAATGCTCTCTTTTCTCGTCGAGATCTCAGCGCACCTGTGTAAACAGCACCTTTGGCAGCGATGGACCCAAAGCATGCATCTTGTTGTCCCACCGGCAGCCCTCCAAGAAGAGCCCGTACCTGGAGAAACAATGAAGGTCTTGCTGTTGCTACATTTCTTCGGAAGCGCCAAGCTGGCAACCACATCACATCACTGGTGTTAAGGGGGAAACGGCAACATGGCAGGCGCACATGTAAGATCCAGCCTCCGAGACAGCTGAATGCTGCAAGGAAGTAGGACATGCAATCGTGTCGAATGGATGGGTTACCTCAATCCTTGCCTCTGGGTGTTGGGTCAAATCGCTTCCGTCCAGTTGCACGTCATCTCTGACCTGTAAGTGCTTCAGCTTCAGGTGTCAGTTTCTGCTGGAGCTGTTCTTGAAGAAATTCCCATCGCCGACAACGCATCTCGATGCATCCCCAGCCTCTATGTCAAAGTCGATACGGTCAATGGGATACTTGTGAGCTCGAGCCTCGGACATAGTCTCTGGTGCAAGGTGAAGACTGAAAACAATTTTGGCTGGACATGATTGAATCAGTAAGGTGCGCAATCAATTGGAATACATTGGAGTATCTGAGTGCCGGGCAAAGTTCTGCATGACCGCAGTCAAAAATGCCTCGAGGCATTCTGATCAAGAAGTCCAAGGGTTGAGATTTACATGAAAAGGCAAAGGTCCGGAAAAGCTCTGTGGTTCTTTTCAGGCATTCTGGGGATCAAACCTGCGGGAAGAACAAGCCTGAGAGCCAGAATGAAATTGGGTGACCTCAGGGAAAGGGTATATCATGAGGTTTGCAAAACCATCACAAAAATGTCTCAAAGAAAGCAGGTTGTATTCATCATTCATCAATGCTCACTGAACAAACCACCAGCCTCCATCATACCACTTGTTGAAGAAATCGATCCGATCGTTCAAGTCCTGGAAGAGATTGCAGCATACTCTTTCAGCGCCAAAGGATCCAAAGGGAGACGTCAAACAACATCCACTCTGGGCAACAATAGCCACTTCAATTCAGATCAGTTCTTAGGTCCAGGTTTCTCCTTGTACCACGCAGTCAGTGGCTTCAGGGACAGGAAACCAACTGTGGCCCAGCCTGCCGAGCGACTGGAGTTAGTACTTTTTCCAAAACCATGAGCCACTCAAGCCGCACTCGGATAGAGGCGAAAATCTTGGATACACGCGTCAGCTGTGGGTCAAAACCAAAATACGTTGGCTGTCCTACTTGGTGTCGGTCGTTCGCTACATGGTGGACTGGTCGGGCTCCAGGTTTGACTTATCCGATTTCGGCTCAGATATTCCATTCGGTCAAGCTTCCTGGTCAGGCCTTCTGGAACAGTGTTCATAAAGAGGCCCTTGCCAATGGCTTCCAACTCATCTGTCATGACCTGGCCCAACCTACCTGCGCCTGCATCTGCAAACATGTAGTTGCAAAACGAGAAAAGCTGACGGACACTGTTTCGTTCGTTCGTGGAAGCTGAGGCAGGAAGACCACAAAGCCTTTCACCGCTCGCCGGAAGAGTGGCAGTTGGACCTTCCTGGCGGAGCTTTTTCTGACGGTCAGGACCTACTTTTTACCGCTTTCAAACGGGACAGGTCTGCAGGAGGGACAGCAACTTGTTGTATTTGGCAGCCTCCTGCTTTACCACTGTGTTCCGAGACCTTAAAGGAAAGCCAGAAAGCCAGGAAAAGCAAAGACTTCTGACTTCCGAGAGAAGGGGAAGTAGAAGATGCGGATTTGAACCCTCTTTCGTTGCCGAACGTTTTGATCAAGCCCGTCGTTGGGTCGCGCCCCAAGAAGTGCTGAGCCGGAGCACTCCTCGTACTTCGTCGGAAAACGCTCCTGCCGGAACGGGAAACACGAAAAAGGACAAAACACAACAACATCACCATGATAAAATCTTGATCTGCACGTGGCGCGGCGACTTGCCGCTGCACGGATCCCCGCGACGCGGTCAGTCACTGTCGCCTCCCAATTGTCCAAATCCCAAGGATCTGGAGTCTGTTTCTCCAGTTCTGCGGCCAGCTCCTCGGCGCACCAGCTACGTGCAGCGAAAAATGATCAACGGGGAGTGCCCGTTCGGGCAATCGAGTCTTTGGGTTGTGAGAATCAGACTTCAACGGAGAGACTAAAAAACAGGCTCTCTCCAGCTGCTCTTCCACTTGCATGAAGAGTTGCATCAAGTCGGATTAGAACTATGTTCTGCCACCAATGCGAAATGGAAAGCTCTGAAATGGTCATCCGCAAATTTTACCAGGAACCCGCGCGTCCATCACTTCATCAGCAGATTTTCCGCCACCAGAGCCTTGACAAGAGAGATCAGAGCATGCTGTTTTACAAAACTCATGCCTTTGACATGAAATGAGCATCTACCATGTATATTCATTCCATATGTCCATAATAGGTGTGTATATAAATATGTACTGTATGTTGATGTATGCTGTTTACACTCAGTGTTACACTCACTACAGTAAAACTAAAAAAGCGTTGGGAGCCGACCAAAAAAGAAAACGAAGGCTCTTTCAAGCTGTGGGACCTTCGGCCCAAAATCGCTGAGGCATCTGCTCGAAGAGCCCCCGGCATTGAGTGCCATGATGTCCGACAACATGGACATCGACTCAGCCCTGATTGCCAACGACTGGTCGACGCTGCATACACGGTCGACGACTGGTCGACTCACATGAGACTGAAAATTGTCTCGCATGGCACAGCGGTGTTCCTTTTGGATCATCACAAGCCCCAGACTCTGCGCAGGTAATCTCGCAGTTCTCATGCAAGCCGAAGACCTTGTTGGCCGAGAAAAACGAGCTGACACTCGAGGTGTGTGAATTCACCAGCCTCTGGAGGGGTCATGATGGGAAGAGCACGAAGATACGATAGGAATTCGTCCTCAAAGGGCACAGACCCTGAAGCCCAACTTTGCAACTAGCAGAGTCAAGATCCAAACAAATCGTTCGCACTCCTGAGAAGATGCATTTGGGCAGTGGAAAATTCCACTGGGCGAGAAATGGTAGTCTGCGCCTCCAAGGGTACCATGTGAAACTAAAAGCATGTCATCAAGGATGCAGGGGCAACACGGCCAGCCATAGTCAGCCGATGTCTCTGTTTCAGCGGCAGTCAGTCACTCAAAATTTGATTCGTGGTTCGGCGAGGGAACCTCAACTTGCACAGTGCAACCCATTCCGGTGGCCAGTAAAACCAGGTGAAATCAGGTGAAATCGTTGTTCTGCCCAACAGAGTCTGTTCTGGCAGGATGTCATGTCCAGGTTGGGAATACGTTGCTATAACGACAATAATGATCACGGAAACGCCACATCACAAAGAGACAAACCGCAGTACGTTGCAGTCCGATTCACATGCATGAGGACAAATGTGAGTGAGACAGCTGCTGCTGCGCCGGCCGATTTACTTACAATTTACAAAACCACTTTGACCCATTCCCCATGCTGTGGCCAGACTGACTAAGTTGGTGTATTGGGGCGCTCTGTTGTTGTGCTTAGTTTTACCATTTCTACTTGAGTTGTGAAGAATTGACAAACCCAATTCAAGAATTCTTTTGACAAGCTGGTTGGCCAAAGCACTGGAAGATTGGTCGGGCCACCCCAGCGTTACATCTATGACAATCTAAGACACTAGGATGCAAAATATCAGCTTTTCTGCATCTTCAAAAATCCGGACTACCACAGTCCATGCGCGCGAGCCTTTCAGCACCACATCTTCACAAATGAAGATCTTGATCAAACAGTCGATCAGTACCTCCCAATACGTTCAAGCACCACCCACTAACAACTTGAATGGGCCACTGAGCGATACACAGTCCACACAATGAATGCAAGTCAACCCACATCTGAAAGGCTTATGGCTTATGGGTTGTCAAAGGTGCGGCATGGGAGCAAGAATCTGCCTTGTCTTTCTTGTCAGTGACACGACCACCATAGTTGATGCGAGAGCCCAGGAACTGCAACACCTCATCTCACAGGTGGTGTGACTATTCATCCTTTTTCAAGTGTGCACACAAAGCATAAGCCCACGACAGTATATGGGATCTCATCAAAGTTGTCAAGGAAATACTTCAACTGACGGCGATTGGTGGTCAAGTCTTCAGGTGTGAAGTTGTACCTCAGAAAAGTGTCGCTGGAGCTACTAGCTCGTGCGAAGTGGCAGATCTCGCAAATCCAGCCCTTCAACATCCTTCAACTCTTTAACATCCGCCAACATCAGCCGTTACAGAAAATGAGGCTCCGAGCGGGATGTTCCAGCCAATCGGCCCAAACTTTCGCCGGTCCTAGCAAACAAAAGGTCTGTTTGTAGAAACGCCAACCAACTACTGATCAATTTACAGATTTATATACATCATAAAAGTTTGTGGATCTCAGGTCTCCTGACACACTGCGTGGAAGAAGCAGAACCCAAAGACCAAGCGTGCGTAGGCTTCGGGCTTCTCACAATCCGACAACATCCGATCATCGCACTTCATCATGGAGCCAAGCACATTGGCACGGAGGCCCTTGGGCGGCTCATTGGTCATCTTCACTCCGTTTTGCAGCAGCAAGGCAGGGAACTGCTTGGTGGGCATGCTGGTGAGCCAAAGTCTGTAATTGTTGTCCGTATCATCCGGGTTCATCTGCTCGCAGATGCGTTCCAGCTCCGGCAACCAACTAATGGACAAGTGACAGTTACAGAGCAGCACCCAGCCACCACTCTCTCTGGCCTTGGCGATCATGTTCGCTGCCTTGGGTCCTGGCGCAGGAAAGGAAGGTTCAGTTCTTGATTCTCTCCCCCAAATCCTCTGAAAAAAACTGAATGAGGGTGTGCATATGGCTCACCAAAGGCTACAGTAGTAATTATGTAGTCCCAGTCCATTCCATCCCAGTCTGCAGTCCTTGCCCTTGTCCCAAAGAGATGCTCTCAAGCTTTGCTCCCATGCCGCTGGCTTCGGCGAAGGCCAACATATCGGCCACAGGGTCGCTGCCCGCCGAGAGAACGAAGATTAACGGCGACATCTTGGTCGAATCCTCGAGGACGGCCAGGGGGCACGGGGCACGGGACCACGGCAGACGCCAAAAGGGATTGGGCGTCCGTCTCAATGAAACAAAGTGTTGGTTTTCTTGGGTTCCCGAACTCAATTCACATCATACTCAATACTCAATTCACATTTTGCTGTCACAGCTTCCAGGAAGGTGAGTTGGTTGCATGATGCTTTATGCTTTCATGCTTTCTGGATGTGCTTTCATTGATCGAACACCCTGCACAAGGGTCTACGCCTATGCGACTTTAACACAGTGGCCAACAAAAGACACTGAAGGTCAACGACCAAAGCGAACGGAATTTGTCAGGAAACCGAAAAGCGGTCCCATCCTCGTAAGAGATTGCAATGTCGAAGACTGGTGGCTCCACAAACTTCTGTCCTCAGTGCTGTCAGTGCTCAAGTACTCCTTAGCCGTTGAAGGTGGCAGAGGTCACTTTTGGGGTACCGGGCCCATTTCGTGCGTGACAAAGTCCAGCACCGAGGTTTGAATTCTGTCCGGCCTTGACGGCAGCTGTATTCCGTGAATAAATAGGTTCTGATGAATGGGAGGAATCACTTAGTTTGGCAAAACACAAATCGAACTTGGGCACCTGATGGTCCTTAGAAAGCAAAGCTTCTGGAAGGGCGTCATCCTGGTGGCCCACTCCCCGGGGATCGGCTCCTCCAAGTGTTTGGTTGACGCGACAGTGCACGGCGCTATGCACGTTCAAAACATCGATTAAGTGACACACAGTGGTGCGTTTGCACCACGCGCCGCTGCACCGCTACGCTGTCCGTCCTTGTCGGCTTCGGGGGCATCGTAGATGCGCTGAAAGCCTTTGACCTGAGAGTGCGGCTTTCAGGCGGTTGGAGACGCAAGCGGAGATGTTATGGTGAAGAAGGTGTTCATGGAAGAGAAGGCCAAAACAAGTGTGCGTGTGTGTGTGTGTGTGTGACCCTCGGAGTTACTCGGAGCCTTCTGTTTTTTAAAGCAGGGTGTCCAGGCAGTTGCGAGTTGTCCTTGGACTAACGAAGACGGACTCACAGCTGGTGAAGCAAGAAGGAACGCCTTCCTTCTCGTGTGCCTGCTTTGCTTAAAGTGACCAAGCCACAAGAAGCATGAATAACTTTCAGCAGGAGTCGAAAGTTGAAACGATAGCATGTAGAAGACCCAATGAGGCACTGTAAGTCGTGCTTTGGAATAAACTGTGTTTTGGAATACCTGGTTTCTTGAGGCCATTTTTTACGCGCCGTGCGTTAGCAGGGGGTACTAGGGGCACCGGTGGACAAAAATATTTAATAAGTTGATAAGGGCCTCACCTAATTAGTCAAGTTTTACAAGAATCTCTGGCAATATTAATTAGGAGTACGTAGAGTAGCAATTCTCAAAATTAATCTGGCCAGCCTGCACATCAAGCCAAGAATTAACTGCAGAGTCATGCACATCTGACACACCCTTCAATTAATTTCGCACTTTTCTCGCCCTGCGTTTGTCATCGTTTGTCCTGTTCTGTCTGGCGGCCCCTTCCGCCAAACCCCCTACGTCAACTGCATTAAATTGCATGGTCTGCCCAGATACTAGAGAACAAAAAACAAGATGCAATGAACAATGAAGAAGATGGTCCTGTCCAACACAAACATATATGAAATTAATTTGCAGGTCGTTGAGTTGTTGCAGACCCCCCCATTATTAAACAACTGATCTCGCATGGCCACGGTTCCAAGAGAATCCATGATACTCATCGGCGACCGCATGCGAACAACCACGAGCCAGAATGAAAATTAATCCAGCACCCCTCCAGTAACTGAAGTTTGCCAAAATTAATCTTCATCATGTTCAGCTCACCTTTTTTTCAGGTTGGACATCAGAAATTAAGTGAACAAAAATAGTAATTTTGAACTCAGTAGGTACCTCCAATTAATTTCTTGGCGCTGCCCGCATCATATTTTTTTCTAGGTCGGCGTGTGGCATGCGACATTCATGTCGTGCGAATCTTATCTCGGTGCGCCTGCAAAAGCTCACAAGCGATTCTTTGCTGGACAAAATCGAAGAGCTTTGATGAAACTCGACCACCAAAAGGTGGAAACTCGACCCAGTCGAGTCGTCCGATCCTCGACTCTGAGACTCGCACGTTTGAAGCGAAGAAGGCCTCGAAACCCTTGAAAGCAGTCATCTGGGAGAGCGTCAGGACCTTTCAAGATTGGATTCCAAGTGCACAACAAAATCGAAAGGAAAGGCTCTCCGAAAGATCTGTGAATCTTAAGACTTGACTCTTAAGACTCAAGACTCCAAGATCGCGGATCAAATAAAAAGCAAATCACCACTCCAAGACGGTTCCCGCCCACCTCATTCCAGCTCTTGGAGGTGAGCCATTTCTCCGCTGGATTCGGCAGTCCGCCCTGGCGACCGTGTCTTTTCGGCCCATGAAACGGCGTCGGAGCGTCCGTGGACACGGTGGACACCTGGCCTTGACCTCCCCGGTTGGGCCAGCCATCAAGAAGCGCGCCTGAAACGGCACGGGCGCGGCAAGGGTCGCAGAACGACGGAGCGAGGCGCCACGGATCGTCCACGGTGCTTCGAGGGGTGACGAGGGACTCAACGGTCATAAAGATCTTGGCTCATCTTGACGGGTGATTCTGAGGCCACCAACATGATGACACAGAGAATCAGTGGAAGGAAGAGAGGAAGAAAGGCATGGAAACGCTAGAGCTTTGAAATACCTGCTTGCTTGTTGCGGGGCACAAGATCAGGCACTCAAGATTTAAGGCATTGAGATTGCAAGTAGGCCACACACCTCCTCGCACACACCCTGCAAATAAATGGGCAACCGGAAAACTGTCTTCAAGTCGATAATTCAAGAACCTTCTCTGAACTGTGTCAGTGGATGCTGTGTATGCCGGAATTTGTTTTGCAAGAGCAATGAGCTGTTTCTGCTGATCAAATCAGTCGAATCTACCGACTGTTGGATCTGCCGACTTTGGGTGGCATGGCTCATGGCTGTTTTCACAAATTTGCTAAGTGTTGTTCGCCAGGAGAATCCAAATGCTAACTAGATACCAGCGCCGCGCAAAGGTTATTTTACCTCTTCGGAGTTTCTGCATTGCATTGCAAAGCCTTGAAGGCTGGTCTGCCTTGAGACACACTGGGAGGGTCTTGATGCAGGAAACGCTGTCGCACAGGAAATGCCCCTCTCTTATGGTCTGGGTCCTGGGTTACTTTCTTGCCATTGCCAACACAAGTCTTGCACCAGGAAACCACTTTCCTTTCCAAAATACAGCTGTCAATCAATGCATGGGCTGCATGGGGCTTAGCCGAAAATAGGCAGGAAACTATATACAAGAATGCACCACAGCCATGTCAAACACCAAAAGACAAAGCGACCAAATGCAGACAGAAGCAAACGCAAACTACAAAGACAAAGAACTGAAACGCCACAAGTGCAGCTCCCCAAAGCGGCGGTTCTGCAGCTCGGCAGCTCCCCACACCTCGTTGGCATCCAGTCGGCACTCGCCATCCATGATCTTCATCGTGAGGGAGAAGGAGAACAACAGCCTTGGGAGAAAAATGTGGCGGTGCGTTGGATGCTTCGCATCAAAATGCAGAGGCTCAGTGGCTGAGTAAGCCCAATGCTCAAGAAATGTTCCACTCACGATGATCAATCACCCGGTCTGGACAAGCAAATGCTACTGTACGCCCCCAAATTGACTTAACCTTTGATGGAAACAGGATCGGGCTGGGCATCCAAGCTTGTGCTTCTCAAAGAGCCCACGGCAAACACTCTGGTAAATGGAGTAGGTAAAGTAGCTGATGAGATCTGAGCACATGTGTTGTCTACAAACCAGGACAAAACCAAAGCAAAACGACAAGCATTTGAAGCGAGCTGTCCAAAGACTTGCAAGTTCGATCTTGAGTGTCCTGCTCTGAAGCCGCTGCGCCCTTGGATTGACGCTGAATCCCATTCAGTGCCAATGAAATAAAATCCATCTTGTTTTATCTGTTGACGTCTTTTGACTGAGCCTTTCATGAGACTAGCGGTAGCGTTTCTATTCAATTTACAGTACGACTGCCGGTGTCGTCACGAGATCCTGATGCACAGCTTCGTTTTGATCTCCAAAAAGGCGATCCCCGATCCCACCAACAACGGATTCGTTCGTACCCAGGGCTGCGGCGGCGTCTCACCCGCCGGGGCATTGTCAATGCTAAGTCCAGCAAGCTGCTGAAACCATTGCAAGCTAAACTGGTACCTAACTCGACGCACCGGAACAAAGAGAGTCGGAGCGAGAGGCGACCGCGTGGAAATAGGGGGTATCTTCAGATGGCGTTTTTGCGGGGGCGGAATGGTCTTACAAGGAAGAGCCCACAGGACATCACAGGTTTGCATGTAGGACTTAATCCAAACTCCAAAAACTCGTTTGAAGGTGTTGCAGGATGGCTGGCAAAATCGATTGCTGTCTCCTCTGGGATGGACACATGGGATCAGTAATGCTCATCTCGCTCACGGCAAAGAACAGCAGTTGAGATCTGAACGCCTGGAAGAATGTCCCAGTCTTAGTCCGCGGTGACCGTCCAAGTTTGATGCTGTGAAACAACGCGCGTTGCCGTGTTAACAAAAGCTGCAAAAAAGCTGCAAAAGGAACGATTGATGGCAAAACATCGAGGATGCTACATGCAAATAGGTTTGAGAGACCGGGCCAACTTGACAAATTGTCGAGACATGCGCCAAAATAAGCAGTTGCTCGCTACAACAAAATCAAGAAGAGCCCTTCAGGCCAAACGTGGCAGCAGCACATAGTCCTTGTAGGACCTGCCAGCTCACTTCGAATGTTACGTGTCCAGAATTGATTCTCCTTGAAACTTGAAACATGTTGCGTCCTCACATTAAGGGTCATAAGAGGCTCTATTGAGTCACTGAGTGCAAAGATTGAATATGGGTTTTGACAAATATTGAAATAGAAAACCTGGTCCGTAATTGAGCTAGTAGCTCTTGATCAGGTGCAACTGTGCTCCTTCACTTTTCCCAACAAAGCTCAAAGAAACAGGGCTCCCAGTGTCCATCAGTACACTATTGGTCAGAAAAGTAGAACACCGGAAGACTACCAAATGGTTTCTTGAAGAGCCAGTGCCCACAGAGCAAACGGGAAAGATTCAACATGACTCTCTCATCTCAAACAACCCGTCAAACGGCCCAGATCCACCTTCGCACTTCGTCAATCTCAACTTCAGTGACTTTTGCCTCCTCCATTGCCTGATGCTGTGCAGTTTCTATAGCTCAGAGAGTCCTTCCAACCCCGAACAGAAACAGGCCACAAACACAGACCGACACAACACACAGCGCCAACATCTGCGGCCCCGGCTTTGTTGATGACAGCCGAGGTCTTCTTTGAATACTCCAATGTGTCAATGAGCTCCTGAAAGGCCAAACCAAGCACTCGACTTGCAAGTTGCATTGAGACTTGGACAATGAAACAAAGCGAGTGTTGCATTGCTCTCCAGGAGCAAAAGCAACCCACCTTGCTCTCCAGGATATCACCCTCTGCGGAAAGCAGCCGAAGAATCTCATCTTCAATATCCTGCATCCACAGTGCATATTTGGAATCCCACGAAGTCAACGGTGTTTGCATTCACAGTGCTGCAAACGTGTCCTTGAGCTGCTTATTCATGGCTGCCCCGTTCTTCACCAGCTCCTGGCGATTCCATAGCTATGTCTTTATTCAGACTATGTTTCCATATCACCATCTTTGTAGCACAAAAAATGCACCAAATGTGTCCAACTGCTGGTTCTGTTCGGGACCATCCTCCACCTACATACACCGCCCCAGGTATCCGGTGTGGTAGAAAGAGGCAAAGGGCACATAGGTCACACAGGTGGATGTGGAGCACCAAGACAGGAAAAGCACGCACGCGACTGCACTCCAAGAGACCAAGACCACAACTGCATCTTGTGCTTCAATGGACTCACATTCAAAAACCTGAGTATTGATCTATGCACACGCACATTTGGATCCGTTTTCCATCATACGTCATTGAGGGGCCACAGCATACGAATAAGAACAGGATCAAGTCGACGATTGTTGACGGAGTGAATATCATGAAAATCTGAAGAGACTCTTCCTGTATTGGGTCGATCTTCCCTGTTTCAGCTGGAAAAATCCAGCTCTTCCAACGACTCCGAAGTCAGAGAAGTGTGGCCATCCTGCTGCGAAGACGATTGGCAGATCCCCATCAGAGGCAGTTGACGACCCTTGCGATGCCGAGACGTCTCTCGTCGAGACCAGTCGTCGCCATCGTTGCCGTTGTTGGAGATCGCTTCTACATTACCCCATGACGGCTCTTAGTAGATTATAGTTGGGATGTCTGATGTGTCCCGCAGAAAACCATCATTGAATGATATTGACTGAAGGTAACTTGGTGGACATCCAGCTTATGAGGAAGTGTTTTGATGAATGATACCTCACCAGTTTGTGAGGCCTCTCTCTGTCTCTCTCGCTCTCCCTCTCTCGCTCTCGTCAGAGCCGCCGTTGTGGGCACGGTGAATAATTAGCTTGCGGCAAGCGTATGATAGCGGAATGCCATCCCTTTTGGTGAATCTCTCGCGGAAGGTTTCCGGGCTCCTGCTTCTTTTCTTCCATTTCTGGCTGCTCTTTGGCAACCACGATGCCCAACATCTGATCCTTGGAGAGCACTGGAACTTGCAGGAAAACAAAGAAGCGGCTATTCCAATTGTTCAAGACGCCTGCAAGCCCTCGGGAGTGATTGCAAAGTTGAGCAATGTCACCTGCCATCTTCTGACTATATTGCCTTGAACATCCTTGAACATCTTATTGTGTGATGCAATTGCCACCAACCGTAGTTCTGTCTCACCCTCAGATCCATTCGTGCACTATCAGTACAGCAGCCACCCCAACCTTCACAGACGTTTCCGGGGAATAGTGCGGGTTAGAGAGGGTCGTGGTCATAAAGAAGCGGAACCTCGGCCGTTCACTGTGAAGGCGGTTCCAGCGTCTGAACTTGACTTGTGAGTCTGGATTCACCACAGCCAACGGTGTAGCTACAACTCGGAGCCCAACTTGTCATCGTAGGCAACCTGCGAGTCTCGGAAAGAACCCCACAAACGAACCGGCATGCTTGGGGTCGGCCACCGAAGGATTTCCCCTTGATTGAAGCTACGGTACTTCCCCCCCAAATCACGCCCGCTGTGAAGGATGCACAACTTCAACCGCATGGGCTTTTGGGCCACGGTCGTTCACGCACGTCGTAACCCCACGGTCGTTTGTAGCCATGCTGACTGACGCCGACGCCAAGGCAGGCACATTCTTGTCACCGAGCTTGATAACAAAGGACGTTCCATCCCGAATCTTCTGCTGCTGCAGCACCTCGGATCGGTGTCCCACCCCGCGGGCTCAAGATCGTTTCGCGCTCGCGCTGTGGTCCCCCTTCTCGGCTCCCACACCGGTTCCAATGCAGGATCCAGCTGCTCGCCGATGTTCTCCAACAGGATCCATTTTCCGAACTGGATGCCCAGCCTGACAAGCGGATCTGTTTCAGAGCCACTACACGCTCTCTTCGCCATCGAAACATCACCACCATCGAAACCTAAACCCAAGCGAGAGGCTCAACGGTCTGCAGCAGATTCGGGTCGGAGAGCTTGCATGTGCCTTGGGTCTTAAACTTGCATTTGCAGGTCACTCGAAGGGTCCTGGGCGTCTCACCCATTCCTTGTTCACTGGCCATCTTGCCATAAAGCTTGATGTATTTGTTCGCCTGGTGTCGGATGCTCAGTCAAAGTCATCTCTTGGAGGTTCCGTTCATGCCTGCCGTTGGGGGTCGATCATCAGAGGCCACCTCCTAGCAGCAAAATGAACATTGCTTTGGTTGCCAAGTACACCACTTTGGGTCTCCTACGCCTCATCTCATCGTTGCTTTCTCTCTCTCTCTCTCTCATCAGTGCCAGGGCCATCTTGACTGGTCCGGCTACTGGGACTTCTATATAGCTGACTTTTAGTATGTCTATATACAGCAAGACATGCTTCAAGTGCATCGTGCCTTGCTGTCGCAATCACAATACCGTTCTCTACAGAGAGGTTGTCATTGGGAAGGCCACAAACAGCCCACTGTTGGATGACGACCTCAGCTGGTTCTGGCTCTTCCTTCTTGCTCTCTGCTCCAAAAACTCTGCTCAAAACATGGAACCTTGATACAACTCCTGCAGTGTCGTCCACAAAAGAGCAGAAAGCCACTTTCCGGGATCAAAAAATGTCTTGTCACGGAGGGAGAATGCCAGGGAGTCCATTTAATTCTTGAACTCTTGGTGGGCAAAACAAACGACCATTTCCGCAAGAGACCGTGCCTGACTGCTGTAAGACCTAACCAAAACACTTGGGCCCAAGCAGGCTGTCCAAGGACACTCACCAAAGTAGCCCCTTGCTTGTGTGTGATGCCCTCTTCGTCCTGGACACCAGTTGCAGCCATTAGAAGCGAAATGGTGGCAGGAGAACCGAATTCAGGAAGCTCCTCGGTTTTCAGCCAAAGCTTCTCAAAGTTCTGGCGGTACTCACCGGCAAATGGACCAGCATAGCCTACCATGCCTGTGGCAAAAAAGCAGAGCTTTCGGGAAGGTAAACAGCACCCCATCAGGCCTGCTGCGACAAGTGAGTCGCCCGGCAGAAGATCATACTCTTCCGTTAGCCGAGAAACCTGCTCGCAGCTGTCACTTGGCCAAGCCCAACACAAGCCAGCAATGGGATTGCTTCCAATGAAACTGCTGCTCAGCTCATTCTTGTCTCCTGATGACCAAACCAGAATGATGAAGCTGGTTCAATGCGTTGTGCCAAGCTGCAGTCTGAGACCATCTGTCTTTCTCGCCGCCAAGGCCATCGATGAGCTTGTTGGCATTGCCAAGCCTGGGCCCACGCCGTTGTCAAAAACCCAACTCACCTTCTTGGGACTGCTAGAAACAGGTATGCCTTCTCTAACTGGGTCAAATACCCTAGTGTTCACAATGCCTATCCGTCCAGTCTATCTGTCCAATCCTCTTGTGTGAGGTCTGTCCTTTCCCTTTACAGTACATCAATCGTGTGTGGGACATCACACAAAGTCTGTGCTTCGAAACATGCCTTGCTCCTAGGAGCTTCTGGTTACTAGTAGTATGGCCAGGAGCTACTAGTAGCGTTCTTGCTACTGATCCGAGGCATTTCAACAACTGCTGACTTCGAGGCACTTGATGACACACATCTCCATCTCATGTGCCAGCTGCTCCTACACAGCAGATACACAGCAGACCGCCACAACCACTGTGCCCTTTGAACCTACAGTATATTAAATGACACAAAACACTTTGAGATCCAGCAAACGTGCTTTATGGTTGCAAGAGCAACCAACCCTGTTGCCAATATGCAGAGACAGTATTATCTACTGCTTCAACCAAGACCTAATGCAATATTGCAAGAAAGCACACATCTATGGCAGGAAGGCTCCTGCTTTGCCACAGCATCGTTGTAGTCTGCTTCCAATTGGGCAAGCTTGTCTTCCACTGCCTACATGGGAAGTTATGAGTAGTGCCTGAAATGTCCAAATACGACGCAAAGCAGAAAATGGGACGCAAAGCCCAGCAGCAGTATGCAAAGCCCGGCAGTATGTTTCCAGCAAATCTCTGCTTCATATCGGTGCATGGGGACCAAAAGTGCCTTGAGCTCCGCTTGGGCGTTCCGCAGCTTCGTCATCGTGATCTCAGCTCGCAAAACGTGCTGATGAGCACACTACTCTTGTTGCCAAAGCTTATCCCCATATATAACGTGTCAAGGTCATGGTGATGAGAAGTTCGAATTTTATGTGGATCATAAATAAAGGTCTGTGATAGGGAGCCCCTCCCAAGACCCCAATGTCGCGGGGCCTCCCCCCAACCATTTCAAAATCAGATTCAAAGGCTGCAACCTCCAAGCTCGCTTCTGCATCTGCCAGCATCCTGTTTGCCACTACGACGTATGACTCTTCCAGTGATGAGAGTACTTTCCGGTGGGAAGCACAAGGCTACTCTGCAACCATGAGCAGCCAACAATGGGCTGCATCGTTTGGGTATGCTACATTGAACCCAAAATCATGCCACTGCTCGATAGCTGGTCCAACTAGCCTTCGCTTTGGCTCAACCGCTTTGGCCACAAAGTGATATTTGTGCATAGCTCTCGTCCTTGGTAGCATTTCTACTGCAGCACATGCATCCATTGCATGTTGAAGCTTTTGACCCACAAACACGCCCATGGCTATGGTATGGCCTCTTGCATTGTCGGCTTCTCTCTCCGAGGATGCAGCCACATACACAAAGCTTCACAGGCCACTGAGGACTTCTTGATGGCAGCAGGATCAAAGTCCTTGACAAAAAGCTCTTGGCTTTCACCGTCTATTGTGTGTCGGCTTAGTAACATCACGAAGCATCACTCAAAGTACCAACTATACGGATCAGGACATTGGGGTTGACGGTGTTGACAGGTAGGGACTGGACAAATGGAACACAATCAATGCTTACGCTTGCTTGACAGCTCACGAGGAGCTCCTCACGATCCACGTACTCCGAGATCTTCTTGATGACTGGCTCTGCAATGTTGTCCTGCAAAACTAAACACCAGTCAGCCAGCGCAGTCTACTGTATGCAGGTTCATACTCATTAATCACGTTGTCACACAATATCACATATATGTTGATCGAGCCAAAATGGTGGAATCTGGATCGCTACTAGGAGCAAGGATGCTACTAGTAGCTCCTGGCAAAGCTCATTACAACTTGGGTGCTCAAAATTCAACATCGTCGAAATCCCGTCTTTCTAGATATCTAAGCTGCTTCCTTCTAAGCTGCTTCCTTTGTGTTTGTTCTTGAATTACAACACCCATCCATTGGGTCTCAACCGAATCTCACTCATTTCACTCTTCAAAACTCGTCAAAAGTCGACCTTGTCAAACTCAAAGAGGTCATCAAGCAGCTTCTTGGGGTCGCTCAAGGGTCCCTTCTGGGATGCCTTGCGGAAAGCCACATCGTGTGGAAAGCGGCAGTTCATGCGATTCATGTGCATGTCTTCTTGTGCGCTTCGGTGAAGGCAGTGAATCTGCGGATAAGACGACACCCAAAACGCCTCCCAGTAGTCATCGATCTTCTTGCCAGGCTGATTTGGGTCCGCTTTCTTGATGGGCCTGAGGCGGAAGGAATGTGGCAAAAGTCAAAACATCCTAAACAACACACCAGCTTGGCTTTCGGCTTGATCTGGAACATGACGCACACGGCCTCTCGACACTGTCAAGGTCATCAATCCAGCCACGGCATGGATGTTAGTCGATGGTATGCTCGATCAACTGCTTGCATGGCAATCTTTGTGTATGGGTTCTCCAATTTTGCTCAAAGGGAACTTAGCATGCTTACAGCAAAGCTAAATCAAACTCTTGATGCAGCTCGTCCAAATGATGTCAACAATTGCGATGCCTCTAGGGTGAGGCGGACACCATCAGGGGGCTTTCCCAAAGCTTTGATCTCCTGGTAGCTGTGGCCAGTGGCGGGACGATGCGGGACGTAAGCGGCTAATGGGCCATAGCCACAGCTGGGATCAAAGAAGCCACTCTTGAGCTTAACTTTGAGCAAGAAATTCGAAGATGTCTGAGACTGAACTTATCATGGTGGTCATTGAGTCATAGGACAATGGAAATCGGTCGTTTCAGGCAAGCGTGACCGTTGCAGCAAATCTGTCGCTGTTCGTTTGGCACAGGCAAAAACCGCCTATTTGAGCTGAACACCATGGGTTTGGGGGCCCAAGTTCTTCTGATCGGCCACATTCCTCTCCTGCAAACTGGACAGTTTCAGTGCTTTCAGGGCCTTCTCAGCCACGTTCAGCGCTGGCCTTGTCACATCTGGACAAATGGAGCAGAGATGTTTGGGGCACAAGACTCATCAGATGTTGTATGATGTTCTTTTTCTGGTTCACTAAAGCTTCCTTGGGGCGGCACTGCGACAGCTGACAAGTCTCATGCGAGAGCCATTTAAGGCTTAGTTGTCTGTTCTGTTGGTCCGCGCCGGCATGATCTCTTCGTCCGTCCAAACAGATTGTCTAATGGATAACTGTTGGCACCCATGACCCCCGCGCTGTCGTCCCCGACCCGTTTCAAGGCCCGCAGAACCTGAGGTCCTGACAATGCCTCATTCAAATCTTTCTCAGCATCTTCCTTGATTGCAGTGGCCTTCTCAGCCTGAGGGTAAAAGCGGGGTCACCATAGAGATGTCGATGCCGCTTTCACAGAACAGTCGAACTTTGTTCTGTAATTAAACGACTTGTAGCCCAGTGATGCCGGTTGACTCGCCTACGACGTCAATTTATGAATCTTTTCGTGCGGTCTGGCTGCCCAACACGGCACGCGGTCTGTGCCTGCTCCTTGGCCTCTGCCTCTACAACCTGACACTCCTCCTTGGTGACTGCAGCCTTGGACATGCCGAAAAAGAGCGCGAGCATGCGGAGCAAGTATATCAAATGATTGAATATGGCGATTGGAGTATGAGTAGTATATACATAGTTATGTATGTGTATATATATATATATTTTATATCAAGCATTCCCCTCTATAAATGACCCTTTCTGTTTTCAAATCAGTACACTGCTCGAACTATGTTGTTGTTGACGTTGTTGTTGCTGTTGTGATGCAGTTGGGAACAGGTGCCATGTAGATGTTGATGTTGTCTTCTATGTTGTGATGGTATGGTGCATGTCCGCAGCTGTTGTTTTTAATGTATTTTTAATGGTCTGTGAAAAGTGATCCAATTTGCATCAAAGCGCAGTTGTTCAAGCAATATCTCACAGGCTTAGACTAATAGATAGACTAAACAGGTTCCAGTCTACCACATGCAAGCAGCTGGTGAGCAGCGCAATAAAGCCAATCCAGAACACCACTTTTACTTTCCGAAGCCTGCCAGCCATGGACCATATAGATGACACGGATGAGGAGCACAATTCCAAGCGAAGAAGAACAAGCTCCTTGATTCAATCATTCTATATAGATCTCGATTACCTGATCTCAGTGATTAGTACTGGATCATTGGACCAATAATTTTTGAGATGATTCGATATGTAAACTGTAAACTGATACAGTAGTAATTTAGTAATCATCAGTAGTCAGTAATAAGAATCTGATATATGATATGATATGATATGATATGAGTCGAGTCATATGAGATAGGATATGATATTAATTATCTATATGAATAGTATCAGTATATTATATGTTATTAGTAGTTAAATCACATGTAACTACTATGTAACCCACATACATGGCTCAAATAAGGTGACGTCAGTGACATCGAGACCGACGAGACTGCAGATGACGTGGACGAGATTCCTGGAGTGTTTCCTTGCAAATGGTTTGAGAGGTGCCTGGCAGCAAAGTTGAGGCTCAGTAGAGTTTTCTGGCTTTGGGAGTGGGGCAGCCCGAAACTGGTGACTGTCCAAGGCAATTGCCCTTTGGTTGCTCAACAGTCGAGTTGTGGTCAGACTAGACACTAGACGTCAGACTGCATGCTGCAATATACTACAATAAGAAGAAGAAGAAGCAATACTAGGTTCAACTCAATTTTTTAAATGTGTCATTTCTGGCTCATTGATTCCAGTCCGTGGCAAATAAGGTATTTGAACTTGGCTGGCTTCGACAGGACCATGTTAGATGACGCCCGGCAGACGTTGCTGGCCTTCAAGTCAATTGTTGTCCTTCGCAAACTGCTTTGTTGTATTTGAGGTTATTTGTATGCCTTTGAAACTGCCTTTGTGAAGTGGTATTGATAGTATTGGTCATTGGTCTAGCAAACCCCGAGATGTCCTAAGTTAGGATAAGTGGCACTAAGTGGTCTATAGTAATGAGTAGGTATACAATAATAATATAGGTTGCATTGTTTATAGCCGCCACCAAATCTACCAAAGCAGGAGCCAGAGCAAGTGTGTTGAGACAAGAGTCAAGTGCTAGCTAGTTGATAAGCTGCAAGGGTAGTGACGGTGGTCGGAGTTTGGGTCAGCTTGATTGCAACACCAAATTCTGCTTTGCCAGTTCAAAAGCCAGAAGATGGCTGCTTCACTGCCTCAGGTTGCGCATTTTCGGCGGCTGTGAAGGGACGGGCATATCTGCCTATCTTGGGAGTCTTGGCCCTTTGCCTTTACCCAACAATGACGATTGACAACAGCCAATAGTCATTGGCTCCATGACTAGCTTTTAAGTAGAGTCAGCGACAGTAGAGTAGAAGAATAATCTTTCAATTTCTATATTTGAAGTTCTTGAGAGGCACGGCATGGTTCCGTGGCACAGCACTTGAGTCGGTTGATGAGTCATATCACCCAGAGTCTGAAAGGAAGGTTAAGAAGGTGGTTCAAATATGTTTGGCGTGTTACGTTTATCCCAGTTCCCAGGAAGTATGCTGCGGAGAACATGGACTTGGATGTGGAGATGGCCTTCTCCAGCGAATGCGACAGCGACTCCCGAGAGTTTTGTCTCCGCCACAATGAATGCCTCTTGGCGCACGCGAGCCGAATCTATACTTCAATGTTCTGTCATAGTTCTTGTCCAATCATGTTCGATCTTGTTTTAGAGTCATATTACTTTTGTTTGGGGAAGAACTCACACGCACATGTTGTGGCAGCACTCTAAGTGGTGAGGGAAGCACTTCTTTAGCGACATCGATGACGACGAGTTCGGAGGGTGGTGCAGCATTTGCAGCTGCCACCATGACGTGCCCAAGCGGAGATCTCCAGTGGAGCACGCTTCTCGTAACAAACTTAACGATATTGGCATTGGGCTCGTTTGACATGGTGATTGTTGCGTTGGTTGTTGGGTCCGTTCATGAATGAGAGGTTCAGGTTCATGTTTTATTTCGAACTCAGCATTTAGCATCATCTAGCCTATCCTGATGGTGACTGTTTGTGACTGACTGTAGGACAAACAGAGTAAATTTTTGTTGCTTCGACCGAGTCACGAGCCAAATGTCAAAGAGCAGTCATCTCAATTGAATTTAGAACCCACGCCACATCATATTATTGTCACGTTGTCTGTTGTCAATATGATCACAGTCACTGGGCCCTGTTTCCTCCTCTCCAAGACTGAGACCTGTGTGTGGAAGCACAAGTCCACTGCATTGCAGCCAGGATTTGATGATCGTTGGAGTTCCTTGCCCATTGTTCTCCAACTTGAACTCCAACGTTCGCAGTGCCAATGTCTTCAACCCCTTCAACCAGTGTCTCGTCCTGTGTGTTTCATATGTTTGCTCCCAAGCTTTCCACAGAGGTACCAAGACTGGACTGGACTGACTGGGACAGAGACTTAAGGTAGATATCAGGTAGGGGCGGGGTGGCATGGGCATGGTGCAATGTTATTGTGGCTTGTGGCTTGCCTTCATCCAGAGGCCAAACTCCCGTGTGATCAAGAGCAGCCTCCGCAAAATCAGATTTCGTAATCCCAAATGCTTTATAATCGAGGAGGTTCCTTGGCTACATCGGGTGCGCGCGATTTGAAAGAGTCTGGACTCTGGAAAGTCTGGATTCTGGATATAAACAGCTGGACTAGCGACTTTCCATTGAGAAAGCAGCGACTACACTTGACACTAGACCTTTCCTTTACCGAGACTGAGTCAGACTGAGACTACTACTGAGACTGACTATCAGACTATTTTTTTGCTGGCTGTACTTTTCTGACAAGTGGACGACATGGCAAACATGTCTCATTCACACAGTCTCAATCTCAACATGTAAATAGGGCGTGCAGCAGCCTCAAAACCTTCATTTTGGTGAGTCAGCACAGCATGCGTACAGCGTACAGGCGCTACCAGCAGTAAAGAATCTTAGTACTACTGTACTACTATAGTAATACAGTAATACAGTAATACAATTATTATAGTAATAATTAATAATTGCTATTACTAACTGCTAATTACCAATTACTACTGATTACAGCAATACAAACAGGTACGGTCCGGTACGGTTGTTTGTAGTTTTTTAGTCTCATTGGCGGTGATTTGATTGGTCTAGTTCTGAATACGAAATGATGTGTGAACTGATTTATTGATATGATATGATTTGATGATATGATATGACGGTCATATGATTCGATTATGATATGACTCAATGACTCATTGACAATTGACACAAAGAAGCAGGCAAAGAGAGAGCAAGAGTCAAATCTAGAAGTCCCTTAAAAGGCTTCAACTAATCAACATCCAACCAATCAAGGTGGCTTCGCTGCTCCAGCCCTTTCGACCACCGCTGACGGGATCCTTCGACAAGTACAAGGCCAACACCACCTTGCAGACGCTGCAAACAAACAACAGACTGGTAGTTTGGGTGGGTGTGGGTGGCCTTTCAGGCCCATATGGCCCATGGCTCATAGGCCATAGGCCCATAGGTTGAACAGTTCGTCACAGTAGTAAGTCAGACTGAGACTTAAGAAAGACTTTGAGGCCTTTTGACTTTTGGAAATTAAAGACCAGGAGCAGGACCATGACTGTGACTCATGACCGTGATCATGGGCTTGACAGTTTCCACCCCGATCGGACGTCGATGGACTGACTTGTGTCACCTGGCCACCCACAATTGCTTTGACAAATCGATGACCAATGTCAGAAGAGTTGCATATGCTTGTATTCTTGCCGCAATGAACAGATTAGGAGGATGAGGAGGAGTGATGTGATGTGATGTGATGTGAGGAGAGGAGAGGTGAGGAGCGGAGCGGAGCGGAGAGGAGAGGAGAGGAGAGGAGAGGAAAGGAGAGGGAGCTAGGAGGCCATGTTCCAAAGCTTTGGCATACGGCGTGCGGCATGTGATCTTTGATGAGTGCCTTTTTCAACGCTCCCACGCTCCTTGTGATTGCAGCTTTGCCGGATGGTTGGCGACTTTGACATGGTGGCGATCACCATAAAGTCTGAATTAAATTAATGTCGGGTCGTCGGGTCGCCTGAAAGTTTGGGTTCCACAGGTGAGAAAACCCAAAGAGACACATTTTTGCTTCGACTACAGACTAAGACTGGAAGCAATCTAGTGTAAGAAAGCGTGCTGTTTCAATTTCATTTCGGAATCATGATTCAGGACTTGCAGGTTGAGAGTTGGTAGACCAGTGGACCGACTGACAGTTCGTGAATTCCGGAAGAGGGTTCGACTAGGGCCAGGGATACTTTTGACTCGAAGAGTTCAAAGATTGATTGTCTGGCGGTCACCGTATGCCACTGTGCTCATGTGGGCTGGCAGATACAAAAAACAGACCGTAAAATGATTGGGTCTGTGAGTCAGTGTGAAACTATTGCGACTTACTTTTTCCACCAGTCCATAGTATGCTGAATTGCACAAACACAACACAAAAAGCACTCACAAACTCCGGCAGAACCAAGGCATGACATGCCTGACATCAGGAGCCAATAGTTTACTACCATTTTTGTTCATTTTCTACCAGAACAATACAA